AATGAGAGGACAATGGGAGTTGTAGTTCACCCATATGAGAAGAGCGTCATGAACTCCAATGATGGTGGATCTGGACTAAAGGTGGAACACAGATTCATCATGACCAACTTTAAATTCTGGTGGGTTTGGGGAGCAATGAGAGGACAATGGGAGTTGTAGTTCACCCATATGAAAAGAGCGTAATGAACTCCAATGATGGTGCATCTGGACTAAAGGTGGAACACAGATTCATCATGACCAACTTTAAATTCTGGTGGGGTTTGGGGATCAATGACAGGGGACAATGGGAGTTGTAGTTCACCCATATGAGAAGAGCGTCGTGAACTTCAGTGATGGTGGATCTGGACTAAAGGTGGAACACAGATTCATCATGACCAACTTTAAATTCTGGTGGGATTTGGGGAGCAATGAGAGGACAATGGGAGTTGTAGTTCACCCATATGAAAAGAGCGTAATGAACTCCAATGATGGTGCATCTGGACTAAAGGTGGAACACAGATTCATCATGACTAACTTTAAATTCTGGTGGAGTTTGGGGAGCAATGAGAGGATGGGAGTTGTAGTTCACCCCTATGAACTCCAATGATGGTGCATCTGGAATAAAGGTGGAAGACAGATTCATCATGACCAACTTTAAATTCTGGTGTGGTTTAGGGAGCAATGAGAGGACAATGGGAGTTGTAGTTCACCCATATGAAAAGAGCGTAATGAACTCCAACGATGGTGCATCTGGACTAAAGGTGGAACACAGATTCATCATGACCAGCTTTAAATTCTGGTGAGGTTTGGGAGCAATGACAGAGGATGATGGGAGTTGTAGTTCACCCATATGAGAAGAGGATGATTGGAGTTGTAGTTCACCCATGTGGAAGAGCCCCAATGATGGTGAGGGGGGAAAGGAAGGGGCCTGAGGCTGTGCGGAATGGTGGGAGTTGAAGTCCAAAACACCTGGAGGGCCTGAGTTTGCCCATACTGGCTCTATCTGAAAGGACTTCCGGTCCTGCGCAGTGAGTGTGTTGAAGGCAGGCGGGGAAGCGCTGGGAGAGGCGGAATCGCGCATGCGCCGTGCGGGAGGCGAAGCGCGCATGCGCATTCGGAGGCGGCGGGCCTGCTACAGTGAGGCGCTGAGGCGTTTGTTTTCCCTTCAGGAAGAAGGAGGGACGCCATGAGCCAGGCCAACGAGGAGTTCCACCGGCAGCTGCGGCTCCAGGAGCTGTACGCCAAGAAGAAGAAGAAGAAGGAGGAGCAGGAGGAAGACGAGGACGACGACGAAGAGGACGACGAGGAGAGCGAAGACCCCTTCACCTACACGGACCCCGCCGACGGCACCGAGTACGAGTGGGACCGACAGAAGAGGGCCTGGTTCCCCAAGGTGAGCCGAGGGGGCGGGGCCTCGGGACGGAGGGGCGGGGCCAGGCCAGGGAGGGGCGGGGCTTGGCGGGGCATCACGTGACGGGGGAAAACAGGAAACCAGCCTGCCTGCCTGGAACACTTTGCCATCTATCTATCTATCTATCTATCTATCTATCTATTCTATTCTATTCTATTCTATTCTATTCTATCTATCTATTCTTTTCTATCTATTCTATCTATCTATTCTATGTATTCTATTCTATCTATCCTATCTATCTATTCTATCTATCTATTCTATCCATCTATTCTATCTATTCTTTTTTATCTATCTATTCTATTCTATCTATTCTTTTCTATCTATCTATTCTATCTATTTATTCTATCTATTTTATCTATTCTATTCTTTTTATCTATCTATTCTATCTATCTAACTATTCTATCTATCTGTTCTATCTATTCTATTCTTTTCTATATATCTATTCTATCTATTCTTTTCTATATATCTATTCTATCTATCTATTCTATTTATTCTATCTATCTATTCTGACTATCTATTCTATCTATCTATTCTTTTCTTTTCTATCTATTCTATCTATCTATTCTTTCTATTCTATTCTATCTATTCTATTCTTTTCTATCTATCTATTCTATCTATCTATCCTATCTATCTATTCTATCTATCTATTCTATCTATCTATTCTTTTTTATCTATCTATTCTATCTAATTATCTATTCTATCTATTCTATCGATCTATCTATTCTATCTATTCTATCTATCTATTCTATCGATCTATCTATTCTATTCTTTTCTATCTACCTATTCTATCTATTCTGTTCTATCTATTCTATCTACTCTATTCTATCTATCTATCTATCTATCTATTCTATTCTATCTATCTATCAATTCTATCTATCTATTCTATTCTCTATAAATACAAATGTAATGTTCATCTGTGGGATTAACAGAACTCAAAAACCACTGGGCGAATTGACACCAAATTTGGACACAAGACACCTAACAAGCCAATGTATGTCCTTCACTCAAAAAAATTATGATTTTGTCATTTGGGAGTTGTAGTTGCTGAGATTTATACTTCACCTATAATCAAAGAGCATTCTGAACTCCACCAACGATGGAATTGAACCAAACTTGGCAGACAGAACCCCCATGACCAACAGAAATGATTATTTACTAGCTGTCCCCTGCCACGCGTTGCTGTGGCCCAGTCTGGTGATATGGAAAATAAACTAATTAGAAAGTGCTGGTTTCTAATATATGTATTGTCTTTATGCTCGTGGGTAAACAGTATATTTTGCAGTTTCTTTGCCAGTGTTGATGTGGAGATTGTCTAGTTTGCCAACTCTGGAACGTGCAACATATAATTGCCCATCTTTAGGAGTCCGTTTCAAATCTATAATACTTTATCTGTGTGTGTGTGAATCATATATATCTATATCTATGGCTGGATGGCTCTCTGTCAGGAGGGCTTTGATTATGTTTTCTTGCCCTGGTGAAGAGAGTTGGACTGGATGGCCTTAAGTATTTTCTGTTGGTCATGGGGATTCTGTGTGGGAGGTTTGCCCTGATTCTGTCGTTCGTGGGGTTCAGAATGCACTTTGATTGTAGGTGAACAGTGAATCCCAGTGACTACAACTCCCAAATGTCAAGGTCTATTTCCCCCAAATGCCATCTGTGTTCATATTTGGGCATATTGAGTGCTTGTGCCAAGTTTGGTACAGATCCATCATTGTTTGAGTCCATGGTGCTCTCTGGATGTAGGTGAACTACAACTTCTAAACTCAAGGTCAATGACCACCAAATGCTACTAGTATGTTCTGTTGGTCATGGGAGGCCTGTGTGCCAAGTTTGGTTCAGTTCCATCATTGGTGGAGTTTAGAATGCTCTTTGGTGGCAGGTGAACTATACACCCCAGCAACTACAACTCCCAAATGACAAAATCATATTTTTTTGAGTGATGGTCTCTCCTTGTGTTGTGAAATGTTTTGTTGCAAAATTTGGTGTGATTTGCTGTGTTTTGTTTTATGTATTTTAACACGTTTTAATTGCCTTATTGATATATGTATTTTTAATGTTTTAAGTCTATTTTAGAGTTCATATGTGTTAGATTTAGATTAGTGCATGGTATGGTTATTACTATCATTTGCTGCTGAGTCCCTTTGAAGAGTATCAAATTTGTTACTAGCTGTCCATATATGGAGAGAAAGGTGGAATAAAAACAAAGTACCGATAAATAAATAACAAGGGTATAGTAATAATAGTCATACGGATTGAGTAAGGATTCTGGATTTTGGATTTTTGAATATTTGCGTAATAAGATGCCTCATGATCCAATTCCAAGTGGTGTCAAACTGCATTAATTCTACCATATAGGTCAGGCATGCCCAAACTTCGGCATTCCAGGTGTTTTGGACTCCAACTCTCACAATTCCTAACAGAGTTGAAGTCCAAAACACCTGGAGGGCCAAAGTTTGTCCATCCCTGATATAGACCCAGCCCAAGGTATTATGTAAATATGCAAAAATCTAAAATCCTTCTGGTACCAAGGGCTACTTTTATCTGTATGACAATTATTTCTATGGGCTTGCTGTTTATGTACTTTATTTTTAATAATGCAAACTGATTCAGTAAAAGCAGGAGCATAAATATTAAACATTATTATTATTATTATTATTATTATTATTATTATTATTATTTATATCCCGCTTTTTGGTTCAGATCCATCAAGCCACAGAGAAGCCTTTGTAGTACAAACAAACACATATACTTTGAGTTATATGTATTGTTGAAGGCTTTCATGGCCGGAATCACTGGGTTGTTGTAGGTTTTTTCGGGCTATATGGCCATGGTCTAGAGGCATTCTCTCCTGATGTTTCGCCTGCATCTATGGCAAGCATCCTCAGAGGTAGTGAGGTCTGTTGGAACTAGGAAAAAGGGTTTATATATCTGGAATGACCAGGGTGGGACAAAGGACTCTTGTCTGTTGGAGCTAGGTGTGAATGTTTCAACTGACCACCTTGATTAGCATTTGATGGCCTGGCAGTGCCTGGAGCAATCTTTTGTTGAGAGGTGATTAGATATCCTTGTTTGTTTCCTCTCTGTTGTTGTGCTGTTCTAATTTTAGAGTTTTTTTAATACTGGTAGCCAGATTTTGTTCATTTTCATGGTTTCCTCCTTTCTGTTGAAATTTCAAATTTCAGCATGTGGACAATTTCAACAGAAAGGAGGAAACCATGAAAATGAACAAAATCTGGCTACCAGTATTTAAAAAAAACTCTAAAATTATAACAGCACAACAACAGAGAGGAAACAAACAAGGACATCTAATCACCCCTCAACAAAAGTATGCTAATCAAGGTGTCAGTTGAAACATTCACACCTAGCTCCAGCAGACAAGAGTCCTTTGTCCCACCCTGGTCATTCCACAGATATAAACCCCTTTTCCTAGTTCCAACAGACCTCACTACCTCTGAGGATGCTTGCCATAGATGCAGGCGAAACGTCAGGAGAGAATGCCTCTAGAACATGGCCATATAGCCCGAAAAAACCCTCAACAACCCAGTGATTCCGGCCATGAAAGCCTTCGACAATGCATTAATTTTACCATATAGACCAGGCATGCCCAAACTTCGACCCTCCAGGTGTTCTGGACTCCAACTCTCACAATTCCTAACAGAGTGGAAGTCCAAAACACCTGGAGGGCCGAAGTTTGTCCAAGCCTGATATATACCCACCCCAAGGATTATGTAAATATTCAAAAATCCGAAATCTAAAATACTTCTGGTACCAAGGGATAATCTTATCTGTATGACAATTTTACTATGTGCTTGCTGTTTATGTACTTTATTTATAATAATGCAAACTGCATTCAGTAAAAATAGGAGCATAAATATTAAAATTATTATTATTATTATTTATATCCCACTTTTTGGTTCAGATCCATCAAGCCACGGAGAAGCCTTTGGTACAAACAAACACATGTACTTTGAGTTATATGTATTATTTTATATTATTATTATTATATGTATCATATCAGTAGTGACAAGTCTGATTGAACAATTTGGTCAAGAAGGTGTTCTCCTCGTCATTATCCTTATTAACCCCCTTTCTCTCCAGCAGTGGCTTGTCTACATAATCTGAGCCACCCAAAGACATTTCTGCCTGAAACTGGAATCCAGATCCGGTGCCAACATTGTAGCCGCATAACTGAGCTCTCAGATGCAGGTCACACTGTTCGGCGGCTGAATCATTTATAAACACATTGCTCTGGGAAACATAGAGGCTTCTTTCAGCCAGGCGCTGGGTGAAGTTTCACAATGTGTGATATACGTCGGGGCAAACTCCAAAGAATCTTGAGAGAGATAGCATTACAGGAGAAACGTCGGGGACAAATGTGTCCCACGCAGAATTGAGGATGACTTTATCTCCTAGGCATGCACAGCAGCTGCAGTTTACAAGTTGGCTAATTCTAAATCGAATATATCGAATATATCCTTACCCTGCTGTCCTTTTCTGCTGTGATGAGAGTTCTCCCGCCGTACAGCATTAAACATGGAACATGATCTACATTGGGTTATTGTGAGTATTCTGGGCTGTGCGGACATGTTCCATTCTCTCCTGATGTTTCGCCTGCATCTATGGCAGGCATCTGTTGAGATTAACTTCACAATTCAGCAGCAGATCAGTTGCACAACTTCAGCGCTTTCCAGTAGCTTCTTCCTGCACAGTATTTTCAGTCAACTGCTCCCACAGCCTGCAGTCACTCTGGAACCTTTTACAGACACTTGAGCACATGCCCGGCCATTGTCAGTTTTACCATTGTCTTTCCCCCAGTCTAGATGATATTACAGACTTACCACAGCACACAGTTATATCTTGTCTTAGCAGACAGGTTCTTTTAATTACATATAGCCTTCGATGAACAACATCACAGCACAAGGAGAAATATACACTGTACATGACTTCCTTATATACAATTCATTTACACATAGCAATCTCTGATTGGTTCCCAACTCATTGACTTAACTCAGACCCAGGATTACATCATTCACAATCACCTGGACTAGGCCAGAACACATTCCCAAATGATTCCCTATATACAGTTAATGCATGACTCAGCATTTCCAATAGAAGCCCATTAGCAGTGCATGACTCAGCTATATTACATTACAATACATTGCAAAACCTGACAGCATCATTAGAAGTTGTGAGGTCTGTTGGAAACTAGGAAAATGGGGTTATATATTTGTGGAATGGCCAGGGTATATAACCCCATTTTCCTAGTTTCCATCAGACCCCAGAACCTCTGAGGATGCCAGCCATAGATACAGGCAAAATGTCAGTAAAGAATGCTTCTGGAACATGGCCAGACAGCCCGGAAAACTCACAACAACCCAGTGATTCCGGCCATGAAAGCCTTAGGACAGCGTTTCTCAACCTGGGAGTCGGGACCTCTGGGGGTTCGCGAGGGGGGCGTCAGAGGGGCCACCAAAGACCATCAGAAAACACAGTATGTTCTGTTGGTCAAGGGGGTTCCGTGTGTCAAGTTTGGCCCAATTCTATCGTTGGTGGAGTTCAGAAAACTCTTTGATTGTACGTGAACTATAAATCCCAGTAATTACAAATCCCAAATGGCAAGGCCTATTTTCCCCAAACTCCACCAGTGTTCACATTTGGGCATATGGAGTATTTGTGCCAAGTTTGGTCCAGATCCACCATTGTTTGAGTCCACAGTGCTCTCTGGATGTAGGTGAACTACAACTCCAAAACTCAAGGTCAATGCCCACCAAACCCTACCAGTATTTTCTGTTGGTCATGGGAGTTCTGTGTGCCAAGTTTGGTTCAATTCCATCATTGATGGATTTCAGGATGCTCTTTAATTGTAGCTGAACTATAAATCCCAGAAACTACAACTCCCAAATGTCAAATGACTCCCCACAACCCCACCAGTATTCAGATTTGGGTGTATTGGGTATCTGTGCCCAGATTGATCATATATTTACATTACTATTCATAACAATAGCAAAATTACAGTTATGAAGTAGCAACGAAAGTAATGTTATGGTCGGAGGTCACCACCACACGAGGAACTGTATTAAGGGGTCACGGCATTAGAAAGGTTGAGAATCACTGCCTTAGGACAATACAATGATCTGCATTGTTTGCACCAGAGACCATAGTTTGCATTAGTTTGCTTCCAGCAGCAACTGAGGCTCCATCTTTGATTCTGCCTCTGGACTCATCTTCTGCGTTCATTCTCAGGTCACCGAAGACTTCCTGGCGAACTACCATGCCAACTATGGCTTCCCCAGTGAAACGTCAGAGGAGTCGTCTGCCTCGGGTGCAAAGGCTGGCTCCAAACCAACTCACGGTCCAAAGGCAGCGGTGGGTGTCCGGCGGCCGACGGAGCCTAAAGCCTCACAGCTGACGGATCAGAAACAAAAAGGAGAGAAGAGAAAACCCGATGCAGGCAAGAGCCCTAGTTGTGCATTGCTTAGAAATACTGTATTTCATCGCGTAATAGTCACCACCATGTGATAGTTGCACCCCTAGTTTTTGGGTCATATAATCCAGGTTTTTTTTTTTGTCGTGTCAGGAGCGACCTGAGAAACTGCAAGTCGCTTCTGGTGTGAGAGAATTGGCCGTCTGCAAGGACGTTGCCCAGGGGGCGCCTGGATGATTTGATGTTTTTATCATCCTTGTGGGAGGCTTCTCTCATGTCCCCACATGGGGAGCTGGAGCTGATAGAGGGAGCTCATCCGCCTCTCCCCGGATTCAAACCTGTGATCTGTCGGTCTTCCGTCCTGCGGGCACAGGGGTTTAACCCACTACGCCACCGGGGGCTCCTTTGGCAAAATTGGTAATTTCTGTGTTCCTCACATAATAGTCGCAGAAACATTTGAGACTGATTCTCTCTTCCTTCTTTCTCCAAAGATGGTGTAAAAACTATAAAATGGAAGTCTCTGGAGCTCCACTCTTCCCAGCTTCCTCCGAGGCCTTAAGGCAGTTTAAAAAACCTGAAATGGAGGTTTCTGGAACTCGGATCTTCCATCTTTTTACCTGACACCTCCGTTTTGTAGTTTGTAAACATTAAATACAATATAAAACCACAAGAGAAATAATAAGCAACAGCTAGGAGACAGGTGTTTTTTAAGTCTCTTCCTCAGTCCCCTTCCTCCTCTTAGCTGGCTTGGGAGGGGGGAAGCAGCAGGATTTCCTCCTCCTCCTTCTGAGGTGGCAGGCAGATGTAGTAAGCAACAGCCAGGAGACAGGTGTTTTTTAAGTCTCTTCCTCAGTCCCCTTCCTCCTCTTAGCTGGCTTGGGAGGGGAGAGTAGCAGCAGGATTTCCTCCTTCTCCTCCTGAGGTGGCAGGCAGATGTAGTAAGCAACAGCCAGGAGACAGGTGTTTTTAAAGTCTCTTCCTCAGTCCCCTTCCTCCCCTTAGCTGACTTGGGAGGGGGAGAGTAGCAGCAGGATTTCCTCCTTCTCCTCCTGAGGTGGCAGGCAGATGTAGTCATGGACTCCACTTCGTAGCCCCATTTCTTAAGTTTGGCTCTACATCTCATGGTGCCAGAGCGCAGTCTGTTCAATGTCTTAGAAAGCTATTTCTTGATTTAAGGCCTTGGCTTGCTGGTTGATATGGGTGGACCGGAGATGTCAATGCCTTTGTCCTTTCATTGCTGGCTGCTACTTCACTGTGGGTATCAGATGGTGCAGTACTGACCAAAGAGTATAATTTCCCTAGTGGTGTAGGGCGTAGACATCCTGTGATAATGCGGCATGTCTCATTAAGAGCCACATCCATGTTTTAACATGGTGAAATGTATTCCACACTGGGCATGCTTATTCAGCAGCAGAGTAGCAAAGCGCAAGGGCAGATGTCTTCTCTGTGTCTGGTTGTGATCCCCAGGTTGTGCCAGTCAGCTTTTGTATGATAGTATTTCTAGCACCCACTTTTTGCTTGATAGTCAAAGTGCTTCTTGTAAGTTAGAGTACGGTCCAGAGTGACTCCCAGGTATTTGGGTGTGCTGCAATACTCCAGTGGGATTCCTTCCAAAATCCCAGATTTGATTATGTATGGACTTGATTTAAAATGTTCTCTTTAGGGATTCTTTTTTAAAACTCTAGACATTCCTAGAGAGATTAAAAAATAGCAATTTCCATATTCTTGTACTCATTCTTTTCCACAGTATGAATGTTAAATCATCAAATTACACTTAATAATTTATAGGTTTTTTTAAAAAAAACAGCTGTTATTTTTGTTTGTCCTTGTGACGTTGATCCTCCTAATTTTCCCTTTAGGCTGGTTTCACGTGGAAGAACAGAAGAACACTAATGTATATGTAACAGGTAAAGAGCATTTCACCTTTACAAATTCATAAAATAGTGTTGTGGGATGTGATCTGCATATGGTTAGAAAGATATGGTTGAAAGATGTTGCTGTCAAGGTGATATGCCAGCAAATATGGAAAACACAAGAATGGCCATCAGACTAGAAAAAATCCACTTATATCCCCATACCAAAAAAGGGAAATGCGAAAGACTGCTCAAACTTCCGTACAGTGGCCCTTATTTCTCATGCCAGTAAGGTAATGCTCAAGATCCTGCAAGGAAGAGTCCAGCAATACATGGAGCGAGAGTTGCCAGATGTACAAGCTGGGTTTGTGAACATAACAAATTTTAAGTGATGATGGAACTTTTTGGGGTTATTGTGGCATGATGTGAGTTGTAGTTCGCCCACAACCTTATGCATTTTGCACAATTAAACAACTGACTTTTTCAAATAACCTGGGCAATGTAGGTTACCCAAGCTAGTATGTAAAAAATATATAAATATACTCGAGTATAAGCCTAGTTTTTCAGCCCCCTTTTTAGGCTGAAATAGCTCCCCTCGGCTTTTACTTGGGTCAAAGTTATTTATTCTTTTACTCTGTTATTAATATTATTACATTTATTATTTTACTCTATTATTTTTAATTTTTTGCTCTATTATTCTATTTATTATATTGCTCTATTATTATTACATATTTGTTATTGTTCTTATTACATTTATTATTTTAATCTATTTATTATTATTATTATTACATGTATTATTTTACTACATTTATTATTTTACTCTATAATTACTGTTTTTATTACATTTTCATTATTTTACTCTATTATTTTTATTATATTTACTAGCTTGGGGACCCGGCAATGCCCGGGTTTTTTGAGAAAGGAATTGTGTATCAAGGTTGGTCTTTATCCGTTAATTTATATGACTCACAGTGGTCTCAGGAAGTTAGTGAAGGTACTGCGAGTCCCATCATCTGTGGTCCATCCTCCTCCAAACTGCACCAGGATGGAGAGTGGGTCATGGGGGCTCTGTGTGCCAAGTTTGGTCTTGATCAGTCATTGGATGAGGGTCACAGCGGTCTCAGAATGTGAGTGATGGTACTGCAAGTCCCATCATCCATGGTCCACCCTCCTCCAAACTGCAGTAGGATGTAGAGTGGGTCTTGCGGGCTCTGTGTACCAAGTTTGGTCTGTATTGGTAATTTTCTGACACAGCCTTAGGCCTTTTCCTCTCCTCTGTCACCTCAGAATCTAGGAGTTTTGAAGCTGGCCCATCAGAGACCATATGCAAATAGTACCACAGTAGCAACCAATCAGAACGCTACCACATACACCTCCCTCCAATCCTTCCTCCGCATACAAACACTGACTTTTATTATATACATAGATTGTTTTTAATAATAAGTACATTTACATTGAAGTAGGTTAGCATAATGGTTTAATAAGAGTTGGACAGTCTTATCTTAAATTATAGTTTTATGTAAATATTCAGAAACATTTAGCCTGTTGATGCCTCAATTAATGTAATTTTATTGGTATCTATTTTTATTTTAAAATTGATCCATAGTGGATGCATTTCCCACCCTCGGCTTATACTCGAGTCAATACGTTTTCCAAGTTTTTTGTGATAAAATTAGTACCTCGGCTTATATTCGGGTCGGCTTATACTCGAGTATATACGGTAGTTAGTTCTGTGGCACTGATGGGTGTCCCTATTGCATTTGTGTGTATTTATTTCCCTAGGTTTGCCGCCAGACATTACAAAAGATGAGTTTGTAGAGGTCATGTCCAAATGCGGCATCATTATGCGCGATCCACAAACAGAGGAGCCCAAGATCAAACTGTACAAAGACAGAGAAGGGAACCTTAAAGGAGATGGACTCTGTTGCTATTTAAAGGTCAGTTTCATGCTTTGGTTCCTAATTTCTTCATTTGTTTGTTTACCAATACGCAAGTCTTTTTAAAAAAATATTGCTGCTTGACGTTTGTTTTTATCCTGGCCGGCCACAGGTTTCTTCTATGTAAGGGATCCTTTTTAACAAGTGTACTATCTGTTAAATTTTGTAACCATAGCTCTCTCCTCCACCCTCCTTCTTTGTTAGAGAGAATCTGTTGAACTTGCCTTAAAGCTGTTGGATGAGAATGAAATCAGAGGCTACAAACTTCATGTGGAAGTTGCCCAGTTCCAGCTCAAAGGGGAGTACGATGCCAGCAAGAAGAAAAAGAAGTGCAAAGACTACAAGAAGAAGATGTCTCTGCAGCAAAAGTGGGTATTTTTTTCTGGAATCCATGTTTTTATTTTCCTCCTCCTCCTTCTTATTGGATACATAACAAGCTGGAATGTGCCCAGAGGAGGGCGACTAAAATGATCAAGGGTCTGGAGAACAAGCCCTATGAGGAGCGGCTTAGGGAACTGGGCATGTTTAGCCTGAAGAAGAGAAGGCTGAGAGGAGATATGATAGCCATGTATAAATATGTGAGAGGAAGCACAGGGAGGAGGGAGCAAGCTTGTTTTCTCCTTCCCTGGAGACTAGGACGCGGAACAATGGCTTCAAACTACAAGAGGAGATTCCATCTGAACATGAGGAAGAACTTCCTGACTGTGAGAGCCGTTCAGCAGTGGAACTCTCTGCCCCGAAGTGTGGTGGAGGCTCCTTCTTTGGAAGCTTTTAAACAGAGGCTGGATGGCCATCTGTCAGGGGTGATTTGAATGCAATATTCCTGCTTCTTGGCAGGGGGTTGGACTGGATGGCCCATGACGTCTCTTCCAACTCTTTGATTCTATGATTCTAAGATTCTAAGATTAGTACACAGCAGATCACTATGCTGGTTTTTGTATTCAGTCACACGTCGGACACTTCCAACATGTCTTGGACTATATGATGTTTTGGTGAATAATACGTGTAGATCCACGTAGTTTGGAGCTGACAGATGGTCATTTGTTGGCGCCAATTGTTTTTAAGTGCAGGCCAAGGTCTTTAGGTACTGCACCCAGTGTGCTGATCACTGGGACCACCTTGACTGGCTTGTGCCAGAGTCTTTGCAGTTTCGTCTTTAAATCATCATCATCATCATCATTTAATAATTGCGTGACCGCATCTCCGTTTATGAACCCACGCACTCCCTTCGTTCATCTGGAGAGGCCCTGCTCGCGATCCCACCTGCGTCGCAGGCGCGTTTGGTGGGGACGAGGGACAGGGCCTTTTCTGTGGTAGCCGCCCGACTTTGGAACACCCTGTTAAATTAAAACCTATTCATGGCTACAACTGCGGCATCCTCTGATGTGATCTTAAAAACAAACTGTCAGCCATTACTGACCTTGCAATCGTAGAAGTACCGAATGCATGTTTAATTCCATGCTTTTAGAAACCAGAGAGCTCAGCTCTTTTGTCAACAACCTCTTGCTGCTGCTTCCTTTTACTAGGCTCCTGGACTGGAGGCCCGAGAAGAAAGAGGGGAGCGTCCGGATGCGGCACGAGCGGGTTATCATAATCCGGAACATGTTCCACCCTAAGGATTTCGAGGTAGGTAAAAAACACCCCCAAAACCCCAAAACCATTTATCATGTATTGCTTAGAAATTCAGAGAAGCAGAATATTAACAGCCTGTCTTTTTGCAGGAGGATCCCTTAGTCCTAAATGAGATCCGAGAAGACCTTCGGTCAGAATGCGAGAAATTTGGACAAGTGAAGAAAGTCATAATATTCGATGTAAGGATTTGTTGCCAAAGATGAATCTGATTGCAAGTGGCTAAGTACCTTTTGACCAAAAACTGACAACAGCGACAGCATCGTCTGTAGCCTGAAGCAGTTCTTCCTCTGTAATTGAGGCAGGTCGTGATGGGCAAGCATACAGATGCAGAGTTGTTTGTTCTTCTCTATAGTCGCACAAAGTGGAGGATTCGTCTGGGTCGTGCCATTTTGCCAGGTTGTCTTTTGTAAAATCGTGGTCCTGGGTAATATGGTAGACTTTTTAATCTGTACCCATTACATTTGGCCCGGCCCTAGTTTTATTGTGTTATGGTGTATTGTTTTTGTTGTTTCTGTTATTGCTTTAATGTTTTGATTTGCTTTAAGTTGTGTATTTGTTATGCTATTGTTTTATTGAGGCCTTGGCCTTTGTAAGCCGCATCGAGTCCTTCGGGAGATGCTAGCGGGGTACAAATAAAGAATAATAATAATAATAATAATAATAATAGACTTAATGCAGCATTTTCCTCTGTTGCACCATGTCATAGGCTGCAGTAAGGTCCACAAAAACTGTTTCCGTAATGCAGCCTTTCTCATATCCTTCCTCAATCGACTTAGTCAGATTAAGAATTTGGGCTATACAGTTTTCCCTGGTCTGAAACCTGTTTGTTGTACAACAACAACAACAACTTTATTCTATACTGCCTCCATCTCCCCCAAGGGACTTGGGGCACCTCACATGGGGACTAAGAATATTTTGAAGAAGATATTAAACTAGGAAATAAGAAGAGAGAGGAAAAAAGGGGGGGGGGGAACCCCTACTTTTTAACCCAAGAAAATCTTCTCAAAAGTCAGGGGTTGTCTTATACTTGGGGTCTTATATGCGGGGTCGTCTTATATGCGGGAGTAGTGTTATACACAGGAGTAGTCTTATAGAGCGGGTGCTGAAACTTCCAATCGGATTGGAGAATCTGTGGTTGCCGTATATGGTGGGGGAAGCTCAAAAATGGCAATGGCCTCATCCCTGCCATATGCAGCAACTGTATGAAAGCATTAAGGGTGACGCTGTACAAGTACGGTAGAAGAAAATCCATTCATCAGGATTCGTGGACTTAATGCGGTCCCGATGGTGAGGTGAAGGGGCGCCTCACCGGGAAGGTGTAAGTGAAGGGTGGAGCAAGCTGCAGGCGTCCGGGGTGCCCAGGGTATGGAAAAAAGAGATAGAGTGGCTCTGGGCCCAAGAAAACACAACTCTTTTACCTGTCTGGCCCACCCTTGTATCCTATTACCATACCTCCTCCTCTGCCTCTCAGATCTCGCTCCTGAAGACTGCAGTGAAGCGGTGCAGGTGTGCATGTGCGAGATCTGAGAGGCAGAGAAGGAGGTACAGTAATAGGAAAATTACCATATTGAAATCAAATCTGATGCTTTAAAATTTTTATTTGGTGTGCGTTGGAAGAGGGGTAGTCTTATACGGCGAATATATCCCAAACTCTATATTTTAACTGGAAAAGTTGGGGGTCGTCTGATACGCCCAGTCGTCTTATACGCCGGAATATACGATAATTAAAAACTTATACAGTAAAATATATTCAAACAGTAAAACCAATAAAATATAAAACATAATAAAACATAAACCAAACATCAAACAACCAGTAGCTGAGAAAAGTGGCCAACAATGTGATGTGGTGGCAAAAAAAGCCAATGGGATTTTGGCCTGCATCAATAGGAGTATAGTGTTTAGATCTAGGGAAGTAATGCTACCCCTCTATTCCGCTTTGGTTAGACCACACCTGGAATATTGTGTCCAATTCTGGGCACCACAATTCAAGAGAGATATTGACAAGCTGGAATGTGTCTAGAGGAGGGCGACTAAAATGATCAAGGGTCTGGAGAACAAGCCCTATGAGGAGCGGCTTAAGGAGCTGGGCATGTTTAGCCTGAAGAAGAGAAGGCTGAGAGGAGATATGATAGCCATGTATAAATATGTGAGGGAAGCCACAGGGAGGAGGGAGCAAGCTTGTTTTCTGCTTCCCTGGAGACTAGGACGCGGAACAATGGCTTCAAACTACAAGAAAGGAGATTCCATCTGAACATGAGGAAGAACTTCCTGACTGTGAGAGCCGTTCAGCAGTGGAACTCTCTGCCCTGCAGTGTGGTGGAGGCTCCTTCTTTGGAAGCTTTTAAACAGAGGCTGGATGGCCATCTGTCAGGGGTGATTTGAATGCAATATTCCTGCTTCTTGGCAGAATGGGGTTGGACTGGATGGCCCATGAGGTCTCTTCCAACTCTTGATTCTATGATTCTATGATTCTGTGTATGCAAACCCAAAGAGGAGTGCAATTGCTGATGGTTTCTTCTCTGTTCTGACAGAGACATCCAGATGGAGTGGCTTCGGTGTCCTTCAAAGAGGCCGAGGAAGGTGATGTCTGTAAACAGGCACTTGACGGGCGGTGGTTCGGTGGGCGCCAGCTCAGTGCGGAAACGTGGGATGGTGTCACCGATTACCAGGTACGCCTGTCCCTCCATTTTCTTCTTGCGGCTTATTGTGGGGATAAAAAGTGGCGTAGTCTGAAAGCTGGCCTTCCGTTTGATCCGGTGTCACTGTTGTTGCACTTTTAAGCCTTGGTAAAGGTTTCCCTTTGACATTAAGTCTAGTCTCCTGAGTACTCTGTGTTACACTCTCAGCATTTACAGGTTATTCATGAAGCACTTGCGGTTTTTTGCCGCTGCAAAGAGAAATTTGGCCACCTGTTCCATTACCCTTTTGTCAAGATCAGACAGTAAATAAGTGCAGTACCAACTTAGGGTTCTTCCTTGCCACTTGGTGAGTAGAGGGGATATTAACCTTAGTCTATCATCCTTGTAAATTGTGCAAATAAAAAGTATATGTATTACAGTTTCAATTTTACCCTCCCTGCAAGGGCAAACTCTGTGTTTGTATTCAGTCCCTTTGTATCTACCCTCTAGTATGGCTGATTTAAGGGCATTAAATCTGGCCCAACTGAAAGCAAGGTGAAATCTTGGGATATTTAAATTTTCCAAATATTTGGTACCTCCCAAAGAGTTAAATGTTAGGCCTAAACTCAATGGAGAGTATGTGGAGTACACCAGAGTCATTGAGGCCTGCCTGTCTATATCAATGATTCGTTCTACTAAGATCTGTGTTGTCTTTTTAAGCTCAAAACCACTCAATATGTTTTCTGAGAGGCCTTTCTGCATAAGTTTCTGATTTTATTTATCGTATCAGGGGCAGACCTAACAGTTACATTGCATTTTTTTTTAGCAAACAGACAAAACAAAAAGTTTGCAAGCTTGGTAGTTGATTAAATGTCCTTTGACCAGTATCTGGCCACTTGGAGTCCTTCTGGTGTTGCTGCAAGAAGGTCCTCCATTGTGCATGTGGCAGGGCTCAGGTTGCATTGCAGCAGGTGGTCAGTGGTTTGCTCTTCTCCACACTCACATGTGGTGGATTCCACTTTGTAGCCCCATTTCTTTAGGTTGGCTCTGCATCTCGTGGTGCCAGAGCGCAGTCTGTTCAGCGCCTTCCAAGTCGCCCAGTTTTCCATGTGCCCAGAGAGGAGTCTCTCATTTGGTATCAGCCATTTATTGAGATTCTGGGTTTGAGCCTGCCACTTTTGGACTCTTGCTTGCTGAGGTGTTCCAGCGAGTGTCTCTGTAGATCTTTTCTTCCTCCTTCCCTTTTGTGTTTCCTTCCTTCCCTTTTGTGTTTCCTTCCTTCCCTCTTTACCCCCTCCTTTCCCCTCTCCCTCTTTCTCCTTCCATCCTTCCTTTCCTCCCTTTTGTCTGTCCGTCCTTCCTTCCTTCCTTCCTTCCCTCTTTCCTCCCTCTTTCCCTTCCTCCTCCACCTCCCAAGTTAGAAAGTTTGCCCATGCCTGCCTTAGACTTTAGTTGATGTAGTCTAAGGTTGCAGGGGCACTACTTTAAGAAAAGAGCTCTCTTTCCCTCCTCTTCAGTGAAACATTGACATGACTATTTGTATACGAATGCAGGTTGAGGAAACCGCAAGAGAACGAGAAGAGCGGCTGAAAGGTTGGGAAACGTTTATCGGCAATCCTGCTACAGAAATGCCCAAAACTGCATCTGAGGCGGATTCTTCAGCAACCGGGAAGCAACTTCCGGAAGGAGTCCATCCGTCGAAAGATAATGGCGCCTCCGAAGGTGAGGCGAAAGTTGAACCGGTGGAGAAAGAAGACGCCAATGAAGACGTCACAGCATCCACAGACAGCAGTGCCGCTGGCAGTGAGGAGGAGGAGGAGGAGGCAGAGACTTAATGTTGCAAACTCCTTTGCAAAAGCATGTCTTTAGGGTAACCTTTAGGAATTCTGTTATCCTGTGCTTTGGAGCAGCTACAGGCAGCATCAACACGGATATATATATATATATATATATATATGCCCATTTTTGTCCTCAGCGTGGTTTTGGGATATTACTCACAAACCCGTATTTAATATTCATATATATATATATATATATATATATATATATATATATATATATATATATAGGCTGCTATTTCAAGCTCTGTGTGTATGTGTCCTAAGTTGCCAAGAGCCCTGCTGAACCGGCCAGCCATCGTAAGTCGTCACTGTTCAGAATCCATCAGTGCAAGTGAAGTACAAACCTGCAGCTCCATCGACTGCTCACTTTAGAGAGAGAGAGAGACAAATGCTGTTTTTTTTGGGGAGGTTTTTTTGCTCATTTGTTTTAATCCTCCTGTCCTATCCTGCTTGTATGGCATACATCCGTTATTCTGACTGTACAAGGATTGGGGGGGTATTCCTGATAATAAATCTTTTATACTAAGAGGATGCCGAAGATACAGTGCTGAGTATCATACATATCCAGGGGAGAATTCTGCCTCTGGCTCTCCTCTAAGTCTCCCCTCACAACTGTGTTTTCCTGCCCCAAATCTCCCATAGAAAGTATTGGAGTAGGAGCTGGCTATGTTCCTGCATCCAGACAGAAAACAAAGTATCTGCCTGTATCCATGTCATCAATCCATGCCTGGCTATGTTCCTGTATCCAGATGCAAATCAAAGTGTCTATCCATATCCAGTGATGTGATCCGCAGATGATGTCATCCATCTGTGCCTGGCTATGTTCCTGTATCCAGGCGCAAACCAATGTGTCTCCTGGATCCAATTATATGATTTAAAGGAGTCCGCAGATGATGTCATCCATGTGCGCCTGGCTGTGTTCCTGTATCCAGGCGCAAACCAATGTATCTGCCCTTATCCAATTATATGATTTAGAGGAGTCTGCAGATAATGTCATCCATCTGTGTCTGGCTATGTTCCTGTATCCAGACGCAAACCAATGTGTCTGCCCATATCCAATTCTGTGATTTAGAGGAGTCCGCAGATGATGTCATCCATCTGTGCCTGGCTGCGTTCCTGTATCCAGGCGCAAACCAATGTGTCTGCCCGTATCCAATTATATGATTTAGAGGAGTCCACAGATGATGTCATCCATCTGTGCCTGGCTATATTCCTGTATCTAGGCGCAAACCAATGTGTCTGCCCCTATCCAGTTATGTGATTTAGAGGAGTCTGCAGATGATGTCATCCATCTGTGCCTGGCTATGTTCCTGTATCCAGGCGCAAACTAATGTGTCTGCCCGTATCCAACTATGTGATTTAGAGGAGTCCGCAGATGATGTCATCCAACTGTGCCTGGCTATGTTCCTGTCTCCAGGCGCAAACCAATGTGTCTGCCCATATCCAATTATGTGACTTAGAGGAGTCCGCAGATGATGTCATCAGTTCCCACCTGGCTATGAGGACATAGGCAAACACTTGGATCTCCAGCAACCTTGGGATAGAGGAGGCCATTGGTGCTCCACAGTAATGAATCCTGGCTGGATTTTGGATCTTGCAGAGAAAATGGAAGGTAATCCCACAATAAAGGACATATGAACCCACAAAATGAATTAATGCCAGTGTTAGACACCAAGACATAGTCAGTCTGAATGTGCTTGTCCAATGAATGGGGAAATACAGCGATGCCACACTGCAATTAAACAAAATCAGTGAGGTGTTCTGAAGGCACCAACTGAATCGCAAAAGTCCCATGTCTTTCCCCTCCCTACTCCCATTTATGATGATGATGAGAGGCTTGGTAGGGAATGGAAAAAATGTAAATAAGATTAACCAATCTTTGTTTTCAAATTGGTTTCTATACATTTATTTGGGGAAAACATGCAGAGAGCTTGTGTGGTGGAAGTGTGAATCCCTTCTCTATTTTTTGCCCTGCTGATATTTCTTGTGTTCACATGTAATTAGGTTTCAAGCGTTCGTTAGGAATGAACTCCGTGTGGGATATGTTCTTTTATACTTGGATTGACTACAAGAGAGACTATGAATAAAATTGTTTTGAAATCCAATCTCAACAGGTATTGAATTCTTTTAAAGGTGGTTTCCAAAGTCTTCTGAATTTATTTTCCACTAGCTGTCCCCTGCCACGCGTTGCTGTGGCCCAGTCTGTTGATCTGGAAAATAAAGTAATGAGAAAGTGTTGGTTTCTAATATATGTAATTCCTTTATGCTTGTGAGTAAACAGTATTTCTTGTTGTTTCTTTGTCAGTGTTGATGTGGAGAGTGTCTGGTTTGCCTACTCTGGAATATGCAACATATCATAGTCCTTCTTTAAGGGTCTCTTTCAAATCTATGATAGTATATCTGTGTGTGTGAGAGAGAATCATATCTATCTATCTATATTTATGACTGGATGGCTCTTTGTCAGGAGGGCTCTGATTACATTTTCTTGCCCTGGTGAAGAGAGTTGGACTGGATGGCCTTAAGTATTTTCTGTTGGTCATGGAGGTTCTGTGTGGGAAGTTTGCCCCATTTCTGTCGTTTGTGGGTTTCAGAATGCTCTTTAATTGTAGTGAACTATAAATCCCAGTAACTACAAATCCCAAATGTCAAGGTCTATTTCCTCCAAACTCCATCTGTGTTCATATTTAGGCATATGGAATTTTTGTGTCAAGTTTGGTCCAGATCCATCATTGTTTGAGTCCACAGTGCTCTCTGGATGTAGGTGAACTACAACTCCCAAACTCAAGGTCAATGCCCACCAAACCCTTCTAAGTGTTTTCTGTTGGTCATGTCCTGTATGCCATGTTTGTTCAATTCCATCATTGGTGGAGTTCAGAATGCTCTTTGATTGTAGGTGAACTATAAATCCCAGTAACTAAAAACTCCCAAATGTCAAGGTCTATTTCCCCAAACTCCATCTGTGTTCATATTTGGGCATATGGAATATTTGTCAAGTTTGGTCCAGATCCATCATTGTTTGAGTCCACAGTGCTCTCTGGATGTGGGTGAACTATAATTCTCAAACTCAAGGTCAATGTCCACCAAACTCTTCCAGTTTTTCTTTTGGTCATGGGAGCCCTGTGTGCTACGTTTGGCCCAATTTCATCATTGGTGGAGTTCAGAATGCTCTTTGATTGTAGGTAAACTATAAATCCCAACAACGACAATTCCCAAATGACAAAATCATTTTTTTTTTGAGTGGAGGACATAAATTGGACTGTTAGGTGTCTTGTGTCCAAATTTGGTGTCAATTCCCCCAGTGGTTTTTGAGTTCTGATGGTAGCACGAACTAACATTACATTTTTATTTATATAGATTACCTTTAATCATTTATTTCAACTTGGGTTTATCATAATAGAAGATGGAACTGTGATTTATCTCAGAACTTGGGGAAACTTTTGTCTCATTTTGCAGCTCCCAGAACTTCCTTACCAAAATGGTGACATGGATTGGAAGAGATATACGAGGGGCATTCATTAAAGATTTCCCCTGACCCACTTCCTGTGGACTGAGAGCAATGAAACTTGGTCCAGTTCTGAGTCCTTCTCTCCATCGGGAAAAAAGGATGACCCAAACAATTACCGTCCGGTCAGCCTCACGTCGACACCAGTCAAGATTCTGGAAAAGATTGTTAAGGAAGTGGTCTGCAAACACTTAGAAACAAATGCGGTCATCGCTAATAGTCAACATGGATTTATCAAAAACAAGTCATGCCAGACTCATCTGATCTCTTTTTTCAATAGAGTTACAAGCTGGGTAGATGCGGGGAATGCCGTGGATGGAGCGTACCTGGATTTCAGTAAGGCCTTCGACAAGGTCCCCCATGGCAAGGAAACTAGTCCAATGTGGGCTAGGCAAAACTATGGTGAGGTGGATCAGTAATTGGTTAAATGGACGAACCCAGAGGGTGATTCTCCCCAAGGCTTCCTCTTCATCTTGGAAAGAAGTGGCGAGTGGAGTGCCGCAGGGTTCCATCCTGGGCCCGGTCCTGGTCAGGATCTTTATTAATGACTTAGATGAAGGGCTAGAAGGCATTATCATCAAGTTTGCAGACAACACCAAATTGGAGGGATAGCCAATACTTCAGAGGACAGGAGCAAAATTCAAAACGATCTTGACAGATTAGAGAGATGATTGGCCAAAACTAACACAATAAAGTTCAACAGGGACAAATGCAAGATACTCCACTTTGGCAGGAAAAACGAAATGCAAATATACAGAATGGGGGACAATGCCTGGTTTGAGAGCAGTACGTGCGAAAAAGATCTTGGAGTCCTCGTGGACAACAAGTTAAACATGAGCCAACAATGTGATGTGGCGGCAAAAAAACCCAATGGGATTTTGTCCTGCATCAATAGGAGCATAGTGTCTAGGTCCAGGGAAGTCATGCTACCCCTCTATTCCGCTTTGGTTAGACCACACCTGGAATATTGTGTCCAATTCTGGGCACCACAATTGAAGAGAGATATTGACAAGCTGGAATGTGTCCAGAGGAGGGCGGCTAAAATGATCAAGGGTCTGGAGAACAAGCCCTATGAGGAGCGGCTTAAAGAGCTGGGCATGTTTAGCCTGAAGAGAAGGTTGAAAGGAGATATGATGGCCATGTATAAATATGTGAGAGGAAGCCACAGGGAGGAGGGAGCAAGCTTTTTTTCTGCTTCCCTGGAGACTAGGACACGAAACAATGGCTTCAAACTACAAGAGAGGAGATTCCATCTGAACATGAGGAAGAACTTCCTGACTGTGAGAGCCGTTCAGCAGTGGAACTCTCAGCCACGGAGTGTGGTGGAGACTCCTTCTTTGGAAGCTTTTAAACAGAGGCTGGATGGCCATCTGTCAGGGGTGATTTTAATGCAATATTCCCGCTTCTTGGCAGAATGGGGTTGGACTGGATGGCCCATGAGGTCTCTTCCAACTCTTTGATTCTATGATTCTATGCTCTGGATTCCACTGGGTTCATTGCCAAACCTCACGCCACTTCAGCACCTGTAACATCAATACTGTGGTCAGTTCTGAGTTGTAAATTGGTACGTAGCCTGTAGAGACATATTGTGACACGTGCAGTTTCAGTGTCCTGTGATAAGTAGAAGTGGGTCAGGGGAAATCTTTAATGAATGACCCTCGTAATCTCATCCTGCCACCAAATTTTATTTCGGTTTCGAAAGGTCGTGGAAAGCATTAACATTATGGAGCCCCCTTTTCTCATTCCATGCAAAGAGAGGAAAAGAAAAGCTTTGATTTTCTGTTTTACTCTGGAGAGTTACAATTTTGCCCTCCAGCTTCCTGGTTTGTAAGCAAAGTTTTGTGCAAACCTTCATCAGCTGATGCCTCCAGATATAACAAAATGAGTAGAAGTTTCTCTCCTTTTGCATAAAAAGGAGTAGCTATGAACACATAAACGTTGTCTTTTATTTCGCAGCGGAGTCCGCTATCGCTGGAAAATCTGGAAATGCAAAATAGGCTGGTGAGTTGAATAGTCCTTTGTGTAATAAACTGAATAATTTAATGTATTGTTGAAGGCTTTCATGGCCGGAATCACTGGGTTGTTGTAGGTTTTTTTGGGCTATATGGCCATGTTCTAGAGGCATTCTCTCCTGACGTTTCGCCTGCATCTATGGCAAGCATCCTCAGAGGTAGTGAGGTCTGTTGGAACTAGGAAAAGGGGTTACAACAGCACAACAACAGAGAGGAAACAAACAAGGACATCTAATCACCTCTCAACAAGTTTGCTCCAGGCACTGTCTGGCCATTATATGCTAATCAAGATGGTCAGTTGAAACATTCACACCTAGCTCCAGCAGACAAGAGTCCTACTTTTCCTTTGGATGGATCTTTGTCTTGACTCTTGTGGCTTGTTCTCGGTTGTCTTGCAGCTCTTCTGATGTCTGATGTCTCAGGGACATCTAATCACCTCTTAACAAAAGATTGCTCCAGGCACTTCCAGGCTATAAAATGCTAATCAAGGTGGTCAGTTGAAACATTCACACCTAGCTCCAGCAGACAAGAGTCCTTTGTCCCACCCTGGTCCTTATACAGATATATAAACCCTTTTTCCTAGTTCCAACACTACCTCTGAGGATGCTTGCCATAGATGCAGGTGCAACGTCAGGAGAGAGAACATACATTGGGTTGTTAGGTGTCTTGTGTCCAAATTTGGTTCCAATTCCCCTAGTGGTTTTTGAGTTCTGATGGTATCACAAACGAACATTTTTATTTATATAGATTGACTGTACTATTACTGTAGTAGTAGAGCCTGTAAGTAACGTTGCAAGTGGTAGTATGGGTGCCAGAAGGGGGGAAAGGAGTGCTCGTGAGCAAGAGTTGGATGAGAAACAACAAAGGAAAAGGATCCGGGATATACTTATGGCACCTACCGATGAAGACTCATTGGAAGGGATTTCTGATAGCGAAGGGTCAATGAGTGAGGGAGAGGAAGGAGATACAGTGGATGTGAATAGGGGAACTAAGAGGGTTACTCGGGAGCAGGAATTGGATGAGGAGCGACAGAGGAAGAAGATCCGGGATATACTTACTGCTCCCACAGATGAGAAATCATTCCTGGGTTTCTCTAGGAGTGATGGGTCTGGGAGTGATGAGGAGGGGGATGACACACTGGATTGGACTAAGGTACAAGAGGTACAAGATGTATGTCTAGCCAACGTCTAGTGACACATTTGTGGGGTTTTCTGGTGGTGGGGATTGGCAGTCAGGAGATACTGCTGTGTCTTGGGGAGACCTAAGTCTTGACAGAAGATGGAGAAGTTGGAGGGATGGGCATCGGAGTGCACGTGTGGAGTCAAGGACAGCTGTAAGAGATGATGACGGGGCGGAGGTCAGCTCATCTTCGGATGATGAGGTGTAAGATAAAAGTAGGCTCTGAAACGGAGAATATTTGCAGAAGGCAAAGTGTTGGTTTCGTGCCTTGGGTTTTGTCGCTGCCGCTTTCGTGTTAAATGCTAATCAAGATGGTCGGTTGAAACATTCACACCTAGCTGCAGCAGACAAGAGTTAGTGTATTGTCGAAGGCTTTCATGGCCGGAATCACTGGGTTGTTGTAGGTTTTCCGGGCTATATGGCCCTGTTCTAGAGGCATTTTCTCCTGACGTTTTGCCCGCATCTATGGCAAGCATCCTCAGAGGTAGTGAGGTCTGTTGGAAGTAGGAAAATGGGTGGTCAGTTGAAACATTCACAGCTAGCTCCAGCAGACAAAAGTCCTTTGTCCCACCCTGGTCTTTCCACAGATATATAAACCCATTTTCCTACTTCCAACAGACCTCACTACCTCTGAGGATGCTTGCCATAGATGCAGGCGAAATGTCAGGAGAAAATGCCTCTAGAACATGGCCATATAGCCAGGGAAACCTACAACAACCCTATGATGTTATTGTTTACTGTTCACATTTTCAGTTGTGTTTTGTTTTTTCTTTATTGTAATTGTTGTTTTGGGCTTGGCCTCATGTAAGCCATGTGAGCAGAATTCAAAATGATCTTGACAGATTAGAGAGATGATTGGCCAAAACTAACAAAATGAAGTTCAACAGTGACAAATGTAAGATACTCCACTTAGGCAGAAAAAACGAAATGCAAAGATACAGAATGGCAGGGTACAGCTCGTTGGAAATATATGTTTTCTGATGGTCTTTGGCGACCCCTCTGAAAACCGCTCAGGACCCCCCCCCCCTCCCTGGATGAGTCCCGACCCCTAGGTTGAGAAATGCTAATCTGTCGCATGAATTCAGTTTGATGCCACTTTAACTGCTGCAGCTTTGTGCTATGGAATAATAGAAGTTGTAGTTCTGCAAACAGTGTTGGTGCTTCATCAAGCTACAACTCCCGGGATTGCATAGCATTGAGCCATAGCAGTTAACAGAGTACCAAACTGTATTAGCAGCAAGTTCATATCTAAAGGAGCGTGAATGTAATGCAAACCTCTCTATCTTTAAAACTTCTTGATAAGTTAATCACAAATGCCATAAGTTAAATGATTCAGTGGGTTGTTGTAGGTTTTTTCGGGCTATATGACCATGTTCTAGAGGCATTCTCTCCTGACGTTTCGCCTGCATCTGTGGCAAGCATCCTCAGAGGTAGTGAGGTCTGTTGGAAGTAGGAAAATGGGTTTATATATCTGTGGAAAGACCAGGGTGGGACAAAGGACTTTTGTCTGCTGGAGCTAGCTGTGAATGTTTCAACTGACCACCCATTTTCCTACTTCCAACAGACCTCACTACCTCTGAGGATGCTTGCCATAGATGCGGACAAAACGTCAGGAGAAAATGCCTCTAGAACAGGGCCATATAGCCCGGAAAACCTACAACAACCCAGTGATTCCGGCCATGAAAGCCTTCGACAATACACTAACATCATAATTACATAAACATATGGATACATAGCAATGTAAAAATTACAATAGATACAGTCATGGAAGTTCTGCAAAGATTGGTTCAATTCCATTGTTGGTGGACTTCAGAAGTCTCTTTGGTTGTAGGTGAACTATAAATCCCAGCAACTAGAACTCCCAAATGAGAAAATCAATCTCTCCGCCAACCCCACCAGTATCCAAATTTGGGCATATCGGGTATTTGTGCCAAATTCAGTCCAGTAAATGAAAATACATCCTGCATATCAGATATTTACATTACAATTCATAACAGCAGCAAAATTATAGTTATGAAGTAGCAACAAAAGTAATTTTATGGTTGGGGGTCACCACAACATGAGGAACTGTATTAAGGGGTTGCGGCATTAGGAAGGTTGACAAACACTGCTATAGTTTGGCGTCACATTAGCCACCATGACTCAAATGCTATGGAGTCGTGGACGTTATGGTTTCAGAAAGCCTTTGATTCCAAAGTGTGTAAACAATTCTCCTGATTGCTTAGCGTTGAGCCGTGGGCAATGGAAGTGCATGGATTCTATCAGGGAGATGCTCCCCAAATGGACTCCGCCTCTATTCTGAGGACTTGCACTGTGACCCCTGACAACACAATCGGTGCCTTGCAAGACTTGTTGCCTTTGAGAAACACACCAAACAAACCCTCTCATTTTCCTCGTTCCTGAAACCTCCAAACCCGGTGGACTTGCCGGGGTGCATTGCACGCATTCCTGCCAGCGAGGCTGACGGATACGCCTTGCTGGCTCCCTGTCGCTGGAAGCGCACCAATCGCACACCAAGAAGCCGTGGCCTTTGGACGGATGTGACACCCCGGTCTTGCAGTGCAGACGGAGGCTGGCCAGGCTGCGGCATGAACCCCACGCTCTCCAAGGCAACCGGGCAGAAGTTGGGACATTACTAGGCCTAGGAGACAGAGCTGGGCCCTTCACAGTTTGGGATAAAAGGTGGGTCAATGTATCATGTTGGGGTCAATGGGTTTAAGCCCAGGACATTTCCTCAGCTGGATGACCGCTCCCATCATCCCCCGGTTGACGATGCTGGGACACCCAGTCATCGTGCAATACTGTACAAAGGTATCTGAAAGGAAAACACTCTCCGGGGTTATGACCCGATCTGGGGAAATGATCACAAGGTCAGGAATTGGATAAGGCGGGGGGATTAACTTAAAACCATGTTATTCCCAAATTATGGAAGAAGAGGAAGAAGAAAAGAGGCAATGAAAAGGAGAGGAGGAGGAGGAGGAGGAAAAGAGGCAGGAAGGAGAAGAGAAGAGGAGCAGGAGGAGGAGGAAGAAAAGAGTCAGGAAGAAGAAGAGGATGAGGAGAAAGGAGAAAAGAGGCAAGAAGAGGAGGAGGAGGAGGAGGAAGGAGAAAAGGGGCAGGAACAAGAAGAGAAGTGGAGGAGGAAGAGGAATTAAAGAGACAGGAAGAAGAGAACAGGAGGAGGAAGAAGAAAAGAGGCAGAAAGAAGAAGAGGAGGAGAAGAAAGGAGAAAAGAGGCAGAAAGAAGAAGAGGAGGAGGATGAGGGAGAAAAGAGGCAGGAACAAGAAGTGGAGGAGGAAGAGGAAGGAAAGAGACAGGAAGAAAAAGAGAGGAGGAGGAGGAGGAAGAAAAGAGGCAGGAAGAAGGGAGGAGGAGGAGAAAGAAAAGAGGCAGGAAGAAGAGGAGGAGGAGAAAGGAGAAAAGAGGCAGGAAGAGGAGGAGGAGGAAGAAAAGAGGAAGGGAGAAGAAAAGGGGATGAGGAGGAGGAGAAGAGAGGCATGAAGAAAAGAAGAAGTGGAGGGAAAGGAAGAAGTGGAGGAAGAGAGGAAGAGGTGGATGAGGAAAAAATGAAGAAAACTTTGGCCCTACAGATGTTCTGGACTTCAACTTCCACAATTCCTAACAGCCAAAGGATGGCCCACTCAAAGCAGCCAACCTGAGGGTCATCCCACTCAAATACAGTTGATCACCCAAACTAGGCCAGCAATGGATCGTCAAACTCAATGATCATTGGACGATCCATTGATTTTTCCATTGAGTTGGATGATTGATTCAGTTGTACAATCCATTGATTTTCCATTAAATTAGATGATCCATTGGGTTGGATGATCCACTGATTTTCATTGAGGTGGATGCTCCATTGGGTTGGACAATCCATTGATTTTCTATTGAGTTGGGTCATGCATTTAGTTGGACAATGCATTGATTTTCCATTGAGTTGGGTGATTCATTCAGTTGGATGATGTGTTGATTTTCTATTGAGTGATCCATTGAGTTGGATGATGCATTGACTTTCCATTGAGTTGGACGATGCATTGATTTTCCATTGAGTTGGACGATGCATTGATTTTCCATTGAGTTGGATGATGCATTGATTTTCCATTGAGCTAGATGATACATTGGTTTTCCATTGAGTTGGACGATGCATTGATTTTCCATTGAATTAGATGATGCATTGATTTTCCATTGAGATGGGTGATCCATTCAGTTGGATGATGCGTTGATTTTCTATTGAGTTGGGTGATCCATTGAGTTGGACAATGCATTGATTTCCCATTGAGTTGGACGATGCATTGATTTTCCATTGAGTTGGACGATACATTGATTTTCCATTGAGTTGGGTGATCCATTCAGTTGGGTGATGCATTGATTTTCCATTGAGTTGAACAATGCATTGATTTTCCATTGAGTTGCGTGATCCATTCAATTGGATGATGCATTGGTTTTCCATTGAGGTGGGTGATCCATTCAGTAGGATGATGCATTGATTTTCCATTGAGTTGAGTGATCCATTCAGTAGGATGATGCATTGGTTTTCCATTGAGTTGGATGATGCATTTATTTTTGATTGAGTTGGGTGATCCATTCTGTAGGATGATGCATTGGTTTTCCATTGAGTTGGATGATGCATTGATTTTTGATTGAGTTGGGTGATCCATTCAGTAGGACAATGCATTGATTTTCCATTGAGTTGAGTGAGCCATTCTGTAGGATGATGCATTGGTTTTCCATTGAGTTGGATAATGCATTGATTTTCGATTGAGTTGGGTGATCCATTCAGTAGGACAATGCATTGGTTTTCCATTGAGTTGGACGATGCATTGATTTTCGATTGAGTTGGGTGATCCATTCAGTAGGACGATGCATTGATTTTCCATGGAGTTGGGCAAACCATTCAGTAGGGCAATGCATTGAGTTCGGAGATTCAACGAATTGGACGATCCATTGATTTTCCATTGAATTTAGGCATGGGCAAACTAAATTTGTCGATAACACAGCACTTCTTGACTCCACGCTTTGGCATCTTTTCAGGCTTCCTTTCCTCTTGATCAAACTTTTCCCAGGAATTCTGCAATCTGGGAACTTTTCTTATCTTTGTGTGGCTCCACATTCTGCAAGCATGATCTCCTCTTAGCCTTGCAGCTATTTCTGTCCCACCGAAAAGAGGAAAGAAATCCACTGGTTTGACTCTTCCTTCTCTTTTTAGGCACAGACAAGGGAAAAACAGGTCCACAGCTATGGAGGACAGGAAGGAGGATGCTGCCAAACTGGGCAAAAGCAAGCAGCCGGTGAAGACGGAGTGGGGAGCCCAATATGTCGTCTTCACTTACTTCCAGGGAGACATTAACAGCGTGGTGGATGAACACTTCTCTCGGGCCCTGAGTTCAACCAAAATTCCCCAGGATTTGAGCAGAAAAGGCAACGGAGGAGGAGACGTCATGGTCAAAACAGGTGAGCGTTTCCCTGGGAATCAGGTTCAGGTCACTTGCATAACCTCTCATTCTCATAGTCCTGATTAAATACAATAATTGCAACATTCACACCTACATCCAACAGACAAGAGTTCTTTCTCCCACCCTGGACATTGCACAGATATGTAACACCCACTTGCCTAGTTTCCAAGAGACTTCACAACATCTGAGGATGCCTGCCATACATGTGAGTGAAATGTCAGGAGAGAATGCTTCTGGAACATGGCTAGACAGCAACCCAATAATAATAATAATAATAATAATAATAATAATAATAATAATAATAATTGAGAAGCAACTGGAAAAGCTTATGAAGATTTAAAGATTCAACTGCAAAGACTCTAGCACAAGCCAGTCAAGGAGGTCCCAGTGGTGATCAGTACACTGGGTGCAGTCTCTAAAGACTTTGGCCTGCACTTAAAAACAATCGGCGCTGACAAAATTACCATCCGTCAGCTAAAAAAGGCCACCCTACTCGGATGTGCATGCATTATTCGCCGATACATCACACAGTCCTAGACATTTGGAAAGTGTCCGACGTGTGATCCAATACAAAAGCCAGCATAGTGATCTTTTTTGCTATGTATTATTAATTATTAAACTTTATTTATACCCCGCTACCATCTCCCCAAGGGACTCGGTGCAGCTTACATGAGGCCGAGCCCACAATACATCAATACAAGCAATAACAACAGTAAAACAAATTAAATAAAACTCATTAACAAAAAGCAATATGCTAATATGTACTAATCTTGTTGTGTTTCAAATAATAATAATAATAATAATAATAATTATTATTATTATTATTATTATTTGGGGTATTCATATTTCCATAAATATATATTCATTCTCTCTCTCTCTCTCTCTCTCTCTCTCTCTATATATATATATATATATATATATATATATATATATTAGCCGTCCCCTGCCACGCATTGCTGTGGCCCACATGGGGGTTCTGTGTGGGAGGTTTGGCCCAATTCTATCGTTGGTGGGGTTCAGAATGCTCTGTGATTGTAGGTGAACTATAAATCCCAGCAACTACAACTCCAAAATGTCAAGATTCTATTTCCCCCAAACTCCACCAGTGTTCACATTTGGGCATATTGAGTATTCGTGTAGAGTTTGGTCCAGATCCATCATTGTTTGAATCCACAGTCATCTTTGGATGTAGGTAAACTACAACTCCAAAACCAAAGGACGCTGCTCACCAATCTCTTCCAGTATTTTCTCTTGTTCATGGGAGAACTGTGTGCCAAGTATGGTTCATTTCCATCGTTGGTGGGGTTCAGAATGTTCTTTGATTTTAGATGAACTATAAATCCCAGCAACTACAACTCCCAATTGACAAAATCAATTTTTTTGAGTGAAGGACATACATTGGGTTGTTAGGTGTCTTGTGTCCAAATTTGGTGTCAATTCGTCCAGTGGTTTTTGAACATTACATACATACATACATACATACATACATACGTGTGTGTGTGTGTGTGTGTGTGTGTGTGTATATATATATATATGAGAGATATAAAAGGTAAAGGTTTCCCCTTGACTTTAAGTCTAGTCGTGTCCAACTCTGGGGGTTGGTGCTCATCTCCATTTCTAAGCTGAAGAGCCGGCGTTGTCCGCAGACACCTCCAAGATCATGTGTCCAGCATGACCGCATGGAGCACCGTTACCTTCCCGCTGGAGCAGTACCTATTGATCTCACATTTGAATATTTTCAAACTACTAGGTTGGTAGGAGCTAGGACTAACAGCAGGAGCTCACCCCGCTCCCTGGATTCGAACCGCTGACCTTCCAGCCAGCAAGTTCTGCAGCTCAGCTGTTTAACCCGCTTCGCCTCCGCTTCCCCGATGGGAGATATCTATAATATTTATTTATACCCCGCTTTATCTCCCTTGAAGTAGACTCAAAGCAGCTTAACATAAAAACATCAACATAACCATTTAAAATATACAAATATGTAAACATTAAAACAGGATTAAATATAAACAGTATTTTTAAAAATCCCAGTTTTTAGGTTCAAAGTGAAAAACCACAGCATCCAATATATATCCTAAAATCTATTCAAGACAATGAATTATTGAAAGTTCTACCGGAGACTAGGACGTGGAACAATGGCTTCAAACTTACAGGGAAGGAGATTCCATCTGAACATGAGGAAGAACTTCCTAACTGGGAGAGCTGTTCAGCAGTGGAACTCTCTGCCCCAGAGCTTGGTGGAGACTCCTTCTTTGGAGGCTTTTAAGCAGAGACTGGATGGCTATCTGTCGGGGGTGCTTTGAATGTGATTTTCTTGCTTCTTGGCAGACTGGGGTTGGACTGGATGGCCCAAGAGGTCTCCTCCAACTCTACACACACACATATGTGTACGCATGCACGCACACACACAAGGGTAAGGACACGGCGATGCCCAGGTTAGGGATTTTGTTAGGATAAGCATAAGCATTATTCATTGTTGGGTTTTGGATTTTAGGAATGGACCCATTGGAAAATGTTTTAGGATGTGGGTAAACTACAACTCCCATCAATCTGTGTCAATTCTACATCTCTCCAGTAATTAAAGTTGGCCATGATGGCTCTGTGTGCCAAATTTGGTTAAGATCCACTTTCAGTTTGGGCTCTTTGGATGTTGGTGACTGCAATTCCCATCATCCTCTGTCATTGCCCCCTAATTCTCCCCAGTACTTAAAGTTGGCCATGATAGATCTGTGTGCCAAGTTGGGTCAAGATCCATTTTCAGTTTGGGCTCTTTGGATGTTGGTGACTGCAATTCCCATTATCCTCTGTCATTATCCCCAGAGGCGGCGCTAGGTAATTTTCAACGGTAAGCAAACAGTATTTTGGCGCCCATCCCCAACCAATCACTGGTATATATTTTCTGTTCATCGTGGGAGTTCTGTGTGCCATATTTGGTTCAATTCCATCATTGGTGGAGTTCAGAATGCTCTTTGATTGTAGGTGAACTATACATCCCAGTAACTACAACTCGCATATGTCAAGGTCTATTTTCCCCCAAGAGCGCCTCAAGAGCGCCCCTGGGCAAAATCAACTATACTGCAAATGGGTTGAGCCACCCCTGATTGTCCCCCAAACCTCCCCAGTACTTAAAGTTGGCCATGATGGGTCTGTGTGCCAAGTTTGGTCCAGATCCGTCATATGTGGAGTTCACAGTGATCTCTGGATGTGGGTAGATTGCAGCTCCCATCATCTTGAGTCCATCCTCCACATCCCACGAGTATGGATGTGGGATGGACTATAACTCCCAAAATCCAGTATTTTCTGTTGGTCGTGGGAGGTCCATGTGCCAAGTTCGGTCCAGATCCATCATCGGTGGGAGCCACAGTGCTCTCACAAATATACATACAAACATAGATTAGGAAATGACTTTTATAGCCCAGGAACAAAAATCGTGTTACGTAGTGTAATCTATATAAATAAAAATATAATGTTCGTTTGTGGGATTAACAGAACTCAAAAACCACTAGGCGAATTGACACCAAATTTGGACACAAGACACCCATCAGGCCAATGAGTCTCCATCTATATATATATAAATGCTCTGTGCATAATGAGTACCTTAAAAACAAAAGAACCATTGAACGAAATCACACCAAATTTGGCAACAAAATGTCTCACTACACAAGGAGTGACCATCACTCAAAAATTATGATTTTGTCATTTGGGACTTGTAGTTGCTGGGATTTCAAGTTCACCTTCAATCAAAGAGCATTCTGAACTCCACCAACGACGGAATTGAACCAAACTTAGCACACAGGACTCCCCTGACCAACAGAAAATACTAGAAAGGTTTGGTGGGCATTGAACTTAGGTTTTGGAGTTGTAGTTCACCTACATCTAGAGAGCACTGTGGACTCAAACAATGATGGATCTGGACCAAACTTGGCACTCAATATGCCCAAATGTGAACACTGGTGGAATTTGGGGAAAATTGACCTTGACATTTGGGAGTTGTAGTTACTGGGATTTATAGTTCACCTTCAATCAAAGAGCATTCTGAACCCCACCAATGATAGAACTGGGCCAAACTTTCTACACAGAACCCCCATGATGGTTCTGGTGGTCTTTGGTGACCTTTCTGACCCCTCCAAGTTGAGAAATGCTGCATTATTATTATTATTATTATTATTATTATTATTATTATTATTATTATTATTTCGGGTACTTCTACCTCGCCCTTCTCAACCCCCTAAGGGGGACTCAGGGCGGCTTCCAACCGGCATACGTTTGATGCCTACAATTCAACACAATAAAATACATAGTAACAAAAATTATAAACACTTAAAACATTACATTAATACAATAAAAAGCCAGCCTGGTGGCCATCGTTTTGCCAAGTCCGTAATTAATAAATTCATTCCGCTTATCATAGTCTGTTTCCAAAGCTTTAGTCGTCATGTCCTTGTCAGTCTGCCAGATTACCCAAAGGCCTGGTCCCATATCCATGTTTTTAACTTCCTTCTGAAAGAGAGGAGGGATGACGATGATCTAATTTCCTCGGGGAGTGAATTCCACAGGCGGGGGGCCACCACCGAGAAGGCCCTGTCCCTCGTCCCTGCCAATCTCATCTGTGACAAGGGCGGGGCCGAGAGCAGGGCCCCTCCAGAAGATCTTAAATTCCTAGGCGGGACGTAGAAGGAGATACGTTCGGATGGCCTTAAAGCCATCCAGCCCAGCTCCTTTCACCAGGGCAAGAAAACATAATTAAAGCCTTCCTGAAAAAGAGGCATCCAGCCATAGATATGGATTGATAGATATGATTCACACATATATGTATATGACAGATGTAGTATCATAGATTTGAAAGGGACTCCTAAAGAAGAACAATGATATGGTGCATGTTCTGGAGTAGGCAAAACAGACAATCAACAATGACAAAGAAACAACAAGAAATGCTGTTTATCCACAAGCATAAAGAAATTACATATATTAGAAACCAACACTTTCTCATTACTTTATTTTCCAGTTCACCAGGCTGGGCCACAGTAACGCGTGGCAGGGGATAGCTAGTATATAATAGATATAAATATATAGATACTAGCTGTCCCCTGCCATGTGTTGCTGTGGCCCAGTCTGTTCATCTGGAAAATAACGAGAAAGTGTTGGTTTCTAATATATATAATTTCTTTATGCTTGTGGGTAAACAGTATTTCTTGCTGTTTCTTTGTCAGTGTTGATGTGGAGATTGTCTTGCCCACCCTGGAACATGCAACATCTTGACCTTCTTTATGGGTCCCTTTCAAATCTATGATACTATATCTCTCTGTGTGTGTATCATATCTATCTCTATCTATCTATCTATCTATCTATCTATCTATCTATCTATCTATCTATCTATCTATCTATCTATCTATCTCTATGGCTGGATGGCTCTTTGTCAGGAGGACTTTGATTATGTTTTCTTGCCCTGATGAAGGGAGTTGGATTGGATGGCCTTGAGTATTTTCTGTTGGTCAAGGGGGTTCTGTGTGGGAAGTTTGCCCCGATTCTGTCATTCGTGGGGTTCAGAATGCTCTTTGATTGTAGGTGAATTATAAATCCCAGTGACTACAACTGCCAGATGTCAAGGTCTATTTCCTCCAAACTCCATATTTGGACGTATTGAGTGCTTGTGCCAAGTTTGGTCCATCATTGTTTCAGTCCACAGTGCTCTATGTATGTAGGCGAACTACAACTCCCAAACTCAAGGTCAATGCGCACCAAACCCTTCCAGTATTTTCTGTTGGTCATGGGAGTTCTGTGTGTGCCAAGTCTGGTTCAATTCCATCGTTGATGGAGTTCAGAATGCTCTTTGATTGTAGGTGAACTATAAATCCCAGCAACTACAACTCCCAAATGTCAAGGTCTATTTCCCTTAAACTCCATCTGTGCTCTTATTTGGGCATATGGAATATTCGTGCCCAGTTTGGTTCAGATCCATCATTGTTTGAGTCCACAGTGCTCTCTGGATGTAGGTGAACTACAACTCCCAAACTCAAGGTCAATGCCCACCAAACCCTTCCAGTGTTTTCTGTTGGTCAGGGGAGTCCTATGTGCCAAGTTTGGTTCAATTCCATCGTTGATGGAGTTCAGAATGCTCTTTGATTGTAGGTGAACTATAAATCCCAGGAACTACAACTCCCAAATGTCAAGGTCTATTTCCCTTAAACTCCATCTGTGCTCATATTGGGCATATGGAATATTCGTGTAGAGTTTGGTCCAGATCCATCCTTGTTTGAGTCCACAGTACAATCTGGATGTAGGTGAACTACAACTCCAAAACCAAAGGACACTGCCCACCAAACCCTTCCAGTATTTTCTGCAGGCCATGGGAGAACTGTGTGTCAAGTTTGGCTCAATTCCATCATTGGTGAGGTTGAGAATGCTCTTTGATTGTAGGTGAACTATAAATCCCAGCAACTACAACTCCCAAATGACAAAATCCATTTTTTTAAAGTGAAGGACATACATTGGGCTGTTAGGTGTCTTGTGTCCAAATTTGGTGTCAATTCGTCCAGTGGTTTTTGAGTTCTGTTAATCCCACAAACGAACATTATATGTTTATTTATATAGATTGTATATATTGTATCTTTCACTAGATATTAGAAGGATTTCACTGTGACCATAAAATACATTGAAGACAATTGTTGAAGGCATGAATTCATCCTTAACTCTTTTTCTCGTCCTATTTTCGTTTTTCTCCATGGACAGAGAGCCACCCGCCTCAGCCCCAGCAGTGGAGTTATTCGCCCCAATGGGCCAAGCCCTACCAGGGGCCTCTGAGCGAGAGTCCATCCGCTTTGGCCAATGCTGACCCCTTCCCGTCTCCCGTCCTGCGGGGCGGCCCTCCTTCGGCCATGGAGCTGTGGCACTTGCCCTCCGGAGGGGCCCCTGCCCCAGGATACCCGCCCTCCATGCCTCTCGCACAGGGCCCCCTCCATGAAGCCAAGTACGGAGGGTCCTTGCTGGGCCTCTTGCACCAACAAGAGAGGGGCCCCTCTTCCGTCCAGGAGCCGACCGAGTCCGGATCCACCTGTCTTTCCGGCTCTGCCAGATTGCAAAACATCGGCCAGAGCTTAACTGCTGCGGGAGGTAAGTACAGACTGGTTTGCTTTGGATCCCTGGGCCTTTTGCACACATACACAGTAGAGTCTTGCTTATCCAACATAAACAGGCTGGCAGAATGTTGGATAATAAGAAGAGATTAAGGATTAAACATCAAATTACATTATGTATTGTCGAAGGCTTTCATGGCCGGAATCACTGGGTTGTTGTAGGTTTTTTCAGGCTATATGGCCATGTTCTAGAGGCATTCTCTCCTGACGTTTTGCCTGCATCTATGGCAAGCATCCTCAGAGGTATTGAAATCTGTTGGGATTAGGAAAAGGGGTTTATGTATCTGTGAAATGACCAGGGTGGGACAAAGGACTCTTGTGTGCTGGAGCGAGGTGTGAATGTTTCAACTGACCACCTTGATTAGCATATAATGGCCTGACAGTGCCTGGAGCAAACTTTTGTTGAGAGGTGATTAGATGTCCCTGAGACATCAGACATCAGAAGAGCTGCAAGACAACCGAGAACAAGCCACGAGAGTCAAGACAAAGATCCATCCAGAGGAAAAGTAGGACTCTTGTCTGCTGGAGCTAGGTGTGAATGTTTCAACTGACCACCTTGATTAGCATATAATGGCCTGACAGTGCCTGGAGTAGAAAAAGGGGTCTATATATCTGTGGAATGACCAGGGTGGGACAAAGGACTCTTGTCTGCTGGAGCTAGGTGTGAATATTTCAACTGACCACCTTGATTAGCATATAATGGCCTGACAGTGCCTGGAGTAGAAAAAGGGGTTTATATATCTGTGGAATGACCAGGGTGGGACAAAGGACTCTTGTCTGCTGGAGCTAGGTGTGAATGTTTCAACTGACCACCTTGATTAGCATTTGATAGCCTGGCAGATCTTAACAGCATCCACCCAAACATCCAATTCACCATGAAAAAGGAAAAGGAAGGAAGACTGCCTTTTCTAGATGTTCTAGTCATCTATAAACCAGATCAACAATTGGGTCACACCATTTACAGAAAACCCACACACACAGAGAGATATCTACATAAAAACTCCAACCAAAGGTCTCTTGTCTGCTGGAGCTAGGTGTGAATGTTTCAACTGACCACCTAGATTAGCATTTGATGGCCTGGCAGTACCTGGGGCAATCTTTTGTTGAGAGGTGATTAGATGTCCCAGATTGTTTCCTCTCTGTTGTTTTGCTGTTGTACTTCAAGGGAAACACTGACCACAGAGGGAAGCTGATGAGGAAACACAACATACAAACTATCTACAGACCCACCAAGAAAATCCAACAAATGCTACATTCAGCAAAGGACAAGAGGGATCCTCTCACTTCTGCAGGAGTCTACCGTATACCATGCAGCTGTGGACAAGTCTACATAGGGACAACCAAACGCAGCAGCATTGCCCAAACACGAATCAAGGAACATGAAAGGCACTGCAGACTACTTCAACCAGAGAAGTCAGCCACAGCAGAGCACCTGATGAACCAGCCTGGACACAGCATATTATTTGAGAACACAGAAATGCTGGACCACTCCAACAACCACCATGTCAGACTACACAGAGAAGCCATTGAAATCCACAAGCATGTGGACAATTTCAACAGAAAGGAGGAAACCATGAAAATGAACAAAATCTGGCTACCAGTATTAAAAAACTCTAAAATTACAACAGCAAAACAACAGAGAGGAAACAATCAAGGACATCTAATCATCTCTCAACAAAAGATTGCCCCAGGCACTGCCAGGCCATCAAATGCTAATCAAGGTGGTCAGTTGAAACATTCACACCTAGCTCCAGCAGACAAGAGTCCTTTGTCCCACCCTGGTCATTCCACAGATATATAAACCCCTTTTTCCTAGTTGGAATTTGTGTCCCTGAGTGGGAAGGGTGGAATAGAAATGTTTTAAATACATAAATAAATGGCCTGGTACAGTAGGTCTCAAAGTGTCGGAAGCAACTGAACAAATAAACAACATCAAGACTAGGGTTGGACTGGATGGTCCTTGGTGTCTCTTCCAACCTTATGATCCTATGATAACTGGAAACACAGTGTCCTTAAGAAAAACAAACTAAGCAACAAATATGCCCTTGGGGTTCATTTCTCCTCCAAAGATTGTATAGGGAGATGGTTCAAAACACAACTGGGGATTGTGTGATATTTTTGCGGGGAGTTTAACCCTGAAGGGAGGCAGCAGCACTCCTTTGAGACCAAGTTGTTTTGGGGAAATTGGGCTTGTATTCGTTGTTGTTGCTTTTATTGGGTTTCAGGGTTTCCAGCTTTTATGATGCTTGGATAACTTTTCAGCTTTAGTGTCCTGTTCATTCTGAACTAAAGCTGGATCGCTGCCCTATACTGCAGCTCGGACTGGTTTGCAAGCTAGACCCAACCAAGGTTTAACTATCACTATCTGCTTTGATTGATTGAAAAAAGCACAGCGGGTTAAACGGTCAGCTGCAGAAAATCTTGCCGATGAAAAGGTCGACAGTTCAAGCCCGGGTTGGGGTGAGCTCCCAACCATCAGCCCAGTTTCTGCCCACCTAGCAGTTCGAAAACAGCAATGTGAATAGATAAATAGGTGTCGCTTTGGTGATGATCGTGCCATCACAGCTCAAGAAGGGATCTTTGAGATGGTTGAACAGAAGCTCTCTGAAGCTCTAGGTGCCCTTACTGCTTATCGCAGAGAAAACCAGCTGACCCCTAATCCATCTAAAACACAGACATGTGCTTTTCACCTTAAGAACAGACAAATATCTTGAGCTCTGAGGATTACCTGGGAAGGAATCCCACTGCACCATTGCAGCGCACCCAAATACCTGGGAGTCACCCTGGACTGTGCTCTGACCTACAAGAAGCACTGCCTGAATATCAAGCAAAAAGTGGGTGCTAGAAACAATATCATACGAAAGCTGACTGGCACAACTTGGGGATCAAAACCAGACACAGTGAAGACATCTGCCCTTGCGCTGTGCTACTCTTCTGCTGAGTATGCATGCCCAGTGTGGAACACATCTCACCACGCTAAAACAGTGGATATGGCTCTTAATGAGGAATGCTGCATTATCACGGGGTGTCTGCGCCCTACACCACTGGAGAAACTACACTGTTTAGCCAGTATTGCACCACCTGACATCCGCCGGGAAGTAGCAGCCAATAGTGAAAGGACCAAGGCAGTGACATCTCCAGCTCATCCCTTGTTTGGGTATCAGCCAGCACGTCAATGACTTACATCAATACATAGTTTTCTTAAATCTACAGAGACACTCGCTGGAACACCTCAGCAAGCGAGAGTCCAAAAGTGGCAGGCCCAAACCCAGCACCTCAATCCGTGGGTGATAGCAGATGAGAGACTCCCCCCTGGGCACTCAGAAGACTGGGCGACTTGGAAGGCGCTGAACAGACTGCGCTCTGGCACCAGGAGATGCAGAGCCAACCTTAAGAAATGAGGCTACAAAGTGGCATCCACGACATGCTGACGGTGGGGCTGCTGAAGGTGAAACAGCAAGTCAGTTCCCAGGGGAAAGGAATGTTAGTGAGACTGATAATGAGAGTGAAATCCTACATGGCCAGGTGAAGACAAGATAATGAATTAATGAGCAGACAAGATCATCTGCAATTAAGGCTCCTGAGAAGCACTCGTTTGGCTAGCAAGCGAGAAGCCAAGGGGGCCAAAGGTCAACGCAATGCGTTCATGTCTGCAACGGGTATTTAGCCTTGTAGCTGACAAGCAGGGGCTGTCAGTCCAACATAGCTCTTTCCATGCAAACTTCTGTGGATTAATTTTGGCTTTTAGCACCACGCTTCTGGCTTCCTGAGTCTGGGATTTGGGCCTTGTTTTCAACTGTTTTCCATGGACTCTTGTTTGACCATTGCTAAAGAATTGCATGTTTTTGCCTTTGGATCTTGGGAACTTTGTCTTTGCATTTAAGCCTTTGTATTGCCTATGGAACTTTTGCATTTCTTTTACTGTGTTTTGATTTTGCCTTTTTCTCAATAAACTACAAAACCTACAGCTTTGGTGTGGTGGTGTCTGGAGCAAGGTGAAAGCTACCCTGAGTTGCAACATGTTCTGTAATCTGCCCTAAGTCCCCTCAGGGAGATAGAGTTGTCTATTTTAGATTATAATAATATATTATATTATATACTAGCTGTCCCCTGCCACGCGTTGCTGTGGCCCAGTCTGGTGATCTGGAAAATAAAGTAATGAGAAAATGTTGGTTTCTAATATATGTAATTCCTTTATGCTTGTGAGTAAACAGTATTTCTTGTTGTTTCTTTGTCAGTGTTGATGTGGAGAGTGTCTGGTTTGCCTACTCTGGAATATGCAACATATCATAGTCCTTCTTTAAGGGTCTCTTTCAAATCTATGATACTATATCTGTGTGTGTGAGAGAGAATCATATCTATCTATCTATATTTATGACTGGATGGCTCTTTGTCAGGAGGGCTCTGATTACATTTTCTTGCCCTGGTGAAGAGAGTTGGACTGGATGGCCTTAAGTATTTTCTGTTGGTCATGGGGGTTCTGTGTGGGAAGTTTGCCCCATTTCTGTCGTTTGTGGGTTTCAGAATGCTCTTTAATTGTAGTGAACTATAAATCCCAGTAACTACAAATCCCAAATGTCAAGGTCTATTTCCTCCAAACTCCATCTGTGTTCATATTTAGGCATATGGAATTTTTGTGTCAAGTTTGGTCCAGATCCATCATTGTTGGAGTCCACAGTGCTCTCTGGATGTAGGTGAACTACAACTCCCAAACTCAAGGTCAATGCCCACCAAACCCTTCCAGTGTGTTCTGTTGGTCATGGAAGTCCTGTATGCCATGTTTGGTTGAATTCCATCATGGTGGAGTTCAGAATGCTCTTTGATTGTAGGTGAACTATAAATCCTAGCAACTACAACTCCCAAATGTCAAGGTCTATTTCCCTTAAACTCCATCTGTGTTCATATTTGGGCATATGGAATATTTGTGCTTCGTTTGGTCCAGATCCATCATTGTTTGAGTCCACAGTGCTCTCTGGATGTGGGTGAACTATAATTCCCAAACTCAAGGTCAATGTCCACCAAACCTTTCCAGTTTTTTCTGATGGTCATGGGAGCCCTGTGTGCTAAGTTTGGCCCAATTCCATCATTGGTGGAGTTCAGAATGCTCTTTGATTGTAGGTAAACTATAAATCCCAGCAACGACAATTCCCAAATGACAAAATCAAGTTTTTTTGAGTGGAGGACATAAATTGGACTGTTAGGTGTCTTGTGTCCAAATTTGGTGTCAATTCCCCCAGTGGTTTTTGAGTTCTGATGGTAGCACGAACTAACATTACATTTTTATTTATATAGCTTCTTCTTCTTCTTCTTCTTCTTCTTCTTCTTCTTCTTCTTCTTCTTATCCTTTTCTACTTCATTCTTTTGTGTTTTCCAGGTCTCCCGGCTAATGACAGAAGACGAGATTTGTTCTTCTAGAAAACGGACATACGTATTCATTATTCCCACAAAAAGAACATTTAAAAAAGGAATTACAGCTGTGAATAAGAGAAACTGAAGAAGACCAAGATGCTTGGACGCTTTACCTCTCATGCTGAGTTGGGGTAATGGAAGAAAATTGGCCAGGATTTTGGCTATTTAAGGCTATTTTTTCCCAGTGGGAAGTCACCTAGTCGTCAAAATATTGGGGCACATCTCTGTTGTACATGGATAATGTGTATATAACCTAGAGTAGGGGTCCTCAAACCTTTTAAAGAGAGGGCCGGGTCACAATCCCTCAAACTGTTGGAGGGCCGGATTATAATTTGAAAAAAAACATGAATGATATGCACACTGCACATATCCTATTTGTAGTGCAAAAAAACACTAAAAAAGTGGTTCTCAACCTTTCTAATGCTGTGACCTCTAAATAAAATTCATCATGTTGTGGGGACCCCAACCATATTTTTGTTGCTTCTTCATAACTGCTACTGTTATGAATCATAATGTAAATATTGGATATGCAAGATGTATTTTCATTGTTACAAATTGAACATGCTTAAAGCATAGTGATTAATCACAAAAACAATATGTTTGGGGGAGTATGGACAACTAATAATGGGATTGCCAGTACATTCAACCTGTACAGGAGTTGATTATAAATTGTATGATTTTAACTGTATTTGTGTTTAGATTGGCTGCAGTAATGCTGGAGCGGCCTAAGTCAGAGGAGTCCTCCATGTGTGTTGCCATGGAGACCGATGCAGGAGAGAGGGAAGTGGGAGGAGCTTAGAGGGGAGAGTTTGAAAAAACGACAGTTAAAAATCAGTTAGGGTTTAGGTTTAGAGGAGTGAGCAGTCAGGAGTTAGGTTCAGAGGAGTGAGGAGTTAGGAGTTGGGAGAGAAGGAAAGGAAAGGTGGCAGAGTGACTCGTGAAGCAAAACTTTGAGGCTTTGAAAAGCTGGGTTTGGCTATTGGAAGTTTCTCAGGATAGTGCAGCCGAATGGTGAAACATAGCTGGAATTCTTTTAGTCTAAGGAGAGGCTAAAGAATAGTTTACTTAGTATTTGATCTAGGGAGGATCAACTAAGAGAAACATCCCTGTATGGAAACTTTGTCTGAAACAAGTGCTCTATGTCAGAAAGATACTGTGTTACTTGAAAGAATGAACTGTTAAAGTTACAAGTATTATTCCAAGTGCAACAAGGAAAAGTTACGTCTTGCAACCACATGCTGTGTACTTAATAACATTGTTAACTTTTATTTGAAGATAGCCTCAGCTCCATCTATTCTGTGTACCAAGTGCCATTTCTCACAATATTACAACTTACCTCCCGTGGTGGCAGAAACGTAGGGAAAAGTAACCAAATAAATCTACGTTCTTCTCTCCAGTCACGCTACAGTATATACAGTGTAATTACTACTAAGTTATTACTTTCTTAATAAAGGAGGAGGTGCAATTGAACAGCCTCCCTTCTAACTTGATGGTAAATTTGGTTCCTAATCGGCAACCTCCATTGCAAATCGGCTAAGTCTTTTTAAAATTGGGAACTGGGGTAAAATCTCCTGAATACTGGTTCCTTTTAAATTGGTGGCAACAATAAATCATCCCTCAGCTCCCTTGCTTCTTTTCACAACTGATTCAGCTCTGACTTCCACAGACCACTGAGACCCCCCACAAATTACCAACCTGGAGCAAACTTGGCACACAGAACCCCCATCACCAACATAAAATACTGGAGTAGGTTAGGAAAAACTGACAGTCATTTACCGGAGATGTAGCTCACCTACATCTGGAGAGCACTGTGAACCCAAACGACTGGATCTGGACCAAACTTGGCACAAATACTCAATATGCCCAAATTTGAACACTGATGGAGTTTGGGAAATATTGAACCTGACATTTGGGAGTTGCAGTTGTGGGATTTATAGTTCACTTGCAATAAAAGAGCATTCTGAGCTCCACCAACAATTGAACTGAACCAAACTTGGCATACACAACTCCCAGGAGCAACAGAAAATATTGGAGAGGGTTGAGGAAAAAAGACCCTGACATTTTGGAGTTGCAGTTGTGGAATTTATAGTTTACCAGCCATCAAAGGGCATTATGAGCTCCACAAAATACTGGAGGGGTTTGGGGGAGGATGTAGAACAGATGATGGGATTTGCAGTACCTTCAATGGCTTCAACTCTACATCCAAATCACTGGACTCCCTCCCACTGCCTGGAGGCACAGCTGATAGGAGAGGCATCCTTGCTGGCCCCCAGCCATGTGCAGGAAGCATATCGGTGGCGGCCTCTTTCCCCGCACATTTGCATTTGCTGGTGGAGGGGGCGTGCCCAGGGGACAGTGGAGGGAGTGCGCTCTTCCCCCACCCGCTTACGAACACAAGGAGAGGGACACTCCGGTGTTGAAAGGTGTGCAGGGGGAAGAGACCTGGAGCATGGTGCGCGTTCCCTCCACCGGCCCTTCCCCGGGAGAGGGACGCTCTCCGGCATTGGCAAGTGTAATGAACTCATACCTTTTCTTTGTAGGCTGCAGCCTGGAAGTCAGTGAGCTGGCCTCCATGTTGGGAAGGCAGCTCAGGATGGCAGACATGATGGTATAGGCAGAGAGGCATGGGGAGGAGTCAGCTAACTCCTGATTGGTTCAGACCCCAAGGGGAGGAGTTGAAGGAGAGGGTAAATAGGCTGTCATTTCTGACAGAAGAGAGAGAGAAGGATTTCATCTAGCAGAGAAAGGATTAGGATTTCAGACAGGGAGAAGAGAGTTTCTTAGTGAGCTAGGAATTAGACTGTTAGGGAATAATTAAAGAGCAAGTGCTTCTGAATAGCTTGACTAGGGCAGTCAAAGCGAAGGCTTGTTTACTTGTATTAGGACAGAATACAAGTGGGTTTATTTCCCTAAAGTTCAGAGTAGTCCAGGGGAAACCTAGATACTCTGGAAGGCAGCCAGGGGCGGCTGGTCAAAGAAACGCACTGATACATATTACAGGATAGTGTGAGGAAAGTAGCTCATGTTAAGGAAAACTTACTCCTTCTAAAGAAACCATTTGCTTAATAAGTCTGTGCTTCAGAAACAAATTACGCGTATGTACCTCTCAGTAATCAGTTGTTTGCTTCAAATACTTCAATAAACCTGTTCTCTAGTTTACTGTTAATCTGCCTCAGCCTGGTTTCATCATATAAGGTTCGATTCAGTAATCCTCCACATCTCTACAGTTAATTCACCAGAAAGATAGCCAAAAGGAAGAGCCGGTGTATAGGGACATTTTACCTCAAGTACAACAACAAGACAATTCCTCAAACTGTAATTTGGGGTGGTGGCAGCAAACCTACCATTACACACTCACGTTATAACATCAACACTCGTGTTGACGCGCTTTGGGTCTGACAGGAGGGATTAGAGACGGTGTGTGTTCTCTCCTGCCTGTAAGAATACACGATCTTCTTTACAGTGGTGGCAGTGGTGGGATTGAAAAGAAAGGTTCCCCCCTGTCACATGTAATAAAAGACCCTTATTTTCGTTACATTGGTGGCAGCAGTGGGATTGAAAAGAAAGGTTCCCCCCGTCACACATTCAAATGGGGACTCACCCTTCTCCACACCCTACGGGCCAGATAAATGCCCTCGGGGGGCCAGATCCGGCCCGCGGGCCTTAGTTTGAGGACCCCTGATCTAGAGTTTCCACTTTTGTGTCTAGAATTTATTTTTCGAATGGCAGGAAGCACTATGGCTTGTTTCCAGCTCTGTTTTTTTTGCTCGGAAAGAGAAAACCCCAAGGCCTAACAACTTGGCCGCTGTCGAGATGTTGTCATGCGTTCTGACGGTGTTTTTGCTCCGTTCATCTCTATATGTTTCCCTCTCTCTCAAGAAGGCAAAATATTGCATTATATTGAGTAGTTACCATCTGGTGTTGCCATATATAATAATTCATTCCTTTCCTCTTGATGCCAATCTGGTCCTGTTTTGCCAACTTCCGTAATGCCAACTTCTATCTGATGAGAGCTGTTCCTTTATATCCTGGATGAACTCCTGTATCCAAAAGAAGAGGGGAATTTAGACATCTTGTGTAACTTTCATGCACTAGAATAAGATAATAATAATAATTATTATCATCATCATCATCATCATCATCATCATCATCATCATCATCAACATCATTATCATCATCTACATAAATAAAAATGTAATGTTCGTTTGTGGTATTCACAGAACTCGAAAACCACTGCGGGAATTGACACCAAATTTGGACAGAAGACACCTAACAACCCAATGTATGTCCTTCACTCAATAAAATTATTTTGTCATTAGGGAGTTGTGGCTGCTGGGATTTATAGTTCACCTACAATTAAAGAACTTTCTGAACCCCACCAACGATGGAATTGAACCAAACTTGGCACACAGTTCTCCCATGACCAACTGAAAATACTGGAAGGGTTTGGTGGGCAGTGTCCTTTAGTTTTGGAGTTGTAGTTCACCCACATCCAAAGATGACTGTGGACTCAAACAATGATGGATCTGGACCAAACTTTACAAGAATACTCAATATGCCCAAATGTGATACCTCTTTAAATGCCACTTGTTCTCTATGTCTCTGTCCTGCAGAATTCCAAGATTTGTAGTTTTCTGATGTCTTTCCTCTAATGCTCTCTCTTCAATGACAGAATGGGAAATCCCTGGCAGAGAAATATAATGATTTCTATATGTTGATGACTGCTTCTTACCAAACATGTAACTGCTTCAATAAATAATGTTCACTGTCTTTGTGACTTCAATCCAACATCCTTTCGGTGTAGCATAAATAATAGGAATGGGCAATCCATGGTTCCAAATGGTTCTAAAGTACTTACAAAACTATAGTTCTGGTGGTGAGCACTAGGGGGCTCTGGTGCTTTGCTAAAGTTCTGGTGGTGAAAATTTCAGAACACTAACAGAAATTTCAAAATTTCATTATTATTTCATTATTGGCAATGTTTATGAGAGAACCAATTAGGAACTGTCATAAATTCCTACATTAGGAATTTATAACGAAATTTTGAAAAAGTTGTTAGAGTTCTGAAATTTTCACCACCAGAACTTTAGCAACACCGTAGAAGCAAAGCACTAGTGCCCCCTAGTTTTCACCACCAGAACGTTAGTTTTGTAAGTACTTTAGAACCATTTAGAACAGTGTTTCTCAACCTGAGGGTCGGGACCCCTGGAGGGGTCACGAGGGGGTGTCAGAGGGGTTACCAAAGACCATCAGAAAACACAGTATTTTCTATTAATCATGGGGGTCCTGTGTGGGAAGTCTGGCCCAATTCTATCATTGGTGAGCTTCAGAGTACTCTTTGATTGTATGTGAACTATAAATCCCAGCAACTACAGTTTCCAAATGTCAAGGTCTATTTTCCCCAAACACCACCAGTGTTTACATTTGGGCATATTGAGGATTCATGCCAAGTGCGGTCCAGATCCATCATTATTTGAGTTCACAGTACTTTGTGGATGTAGGTGAACTACAACTCCCAAACTCAAGGTCAATGCCCACCAAACCCTTCTGGTATTTTCCGTTGGCCATGGGAGTTATGTGTGCCAAGATTGGTTCAATTCCATTGTTGGTGGAGTTCAGATGCTCTTTGATTGTAGGTAAACTATAAATTCCAGCAACTACAATTCCCAAATGACAAAATCAATCCTCCCCGCAACCCCATCAGTATTCAAATTTGGGTGTATCGAGTATTTGTGTCAAATTTGGTCCAGTGTATGAAAATGCATCCTGCATATCAGATATTTATGTGACAATTCATAACAGTAGAAAAATTACAGTTACGCAGTAGCAACAAAAATAATTTTATGGTTGGGGGTCACCACAACATCAGGAACTGTATTAAGGGGTTGCGGCATTAGGAAGGTTGAGAAACACTGATTTAGAACCATGCCTAATAAATAATATTCATATGCAGAGATGCGCAATTCCCATACAGAATAGCAACGTAGCACAAGACATGCTTATGACTATAGTGTTGTATGCAATAAGCAACCGTTCTGTGTGTGAAACTCTGATTCCAAGCCTGTCAACACAATATGTCTGTTGGGTGAATAAATCCCCATACATGAATACACGCACAGCTTATGCTATCATCTGTCACTGATGGGATGCCAGTCTATAGGTTTGTGAGCTCGCTTCATGAATCTCAAGTTTGGGTCTCAAATAAATTGTATGGTTTTTTTTGCACTGTTTTTACGGCAGGCCAATTTGCTGGTGATTTCTTCCTGGCTTGCTTTTCTGTGTTTTAAAGCCAAAGTGCTATTGCAACCCAGATCAGGAAACGAATCCATAAGATTAATCCACCACACTTGACTGTAGGAAAAAACAATCCTTTTTTATTGATGAAAAATGGTTACAAAATAGAGGAAAATACAAAGTCAAAAAGCCACAGTAAAACTCAGCAGTCAGGAATATCTCAGAACTAGATCAAAATTCCAAAAGCAATACTATAAAAACCTGGAACCTGTTAGCATTTCACTAACCGTACTTGGAAACTAGAAGCCTCTAGGAATGCAGGCCATGGGGAACGGGAAATCTGCCAAGGTCTTGCCTCAGTCTAAACGATGCTTGATCTAACGAGACGGCCCGGAGAGAGACATTTAAACTAAAGAAACTGTTTCGGGACACGCCTCCAAGCTTTGAAGCCTGTGCCTCCCTTTCCTTTAATCTGCTTGACCTTTGCAGACTCTGTGATTCACTCCTGTTTTTCCAAATCTGTCCTTTTCTATCCTCATTAAAAAAGGCAGGTGCTAGCTCCTCTGGAGAGCTATCACCGCCTGAATCTGAAACATTCTCATCAGGATGTGCAGTTCCACTTTCCAAGCCACTGACCTCAGAATCAACAGTTTCCAAACCATCAGGGAAAACTATATGTTCAGTAGCCTGTTCAGTTGCATCAGGAAATACAATCAGAGAATCAGGTTCAGGTTCACACGCAGGCTGAACCCCAACAAGTGCATTAATTCTACCATGTAAATCAGGACTGGTGTGCTGTCACACGCTGGGCCTATGATAATTGTCTTTTGAACAGGGCGTGCTCTTTGTGCCCAGCGGGAAGCCGGGTTGCCTCGGCTGAGATGCCCTAAGGATTTTCCTATACAAAAGTCTTTAGATTGCTTGAAAAGTTTAACAAAGCCCTTTATTATTGCTTAGATCTTCAACAATTTCAACAAACACTTCTCAGATCTTCAACAAGTCAAACAAACGCTTCTTAACTTGCCCAAATGGACAGGTAACTGGCTTCGTGAACGGTTTCTTTTCTTTTAAGAGGAAAACCCTTTGTAACCCCTCCCAGGCAACCTACTTTCTATGCTTGCTGGTGTGGGCTCAACTCCCGGCTCCAATTGCTTCTGGTTACCCGGTTAGACCTACCAGCCAAGGCAGCAATTCTCAACCTGGGGGTCGCGACCCCCAGGGGGGTCATTTGGCCATTTTGG